ATCAATCTACCTTGCTTCTCATCTCATCGTATCCCAAACTGTTACTTCCACTGAATCGATGATTACTATATAGGTTCTCCATATCTCTAGAAACCACTTTTGAGTAATAATGGCATCAATTACGTCACGCAACCCTATTATTCAGTAAGAGATTGCTATACAGTCTCGATAAATATAGGCACGGTTGCATAGTCTATGTATATAACTTCGTCGATAAAGAAAACTCCTTCTTCACTGAATCGTCCTTTCTTTTCTTCATGACTCAATGGGTGAATTCTGGTAACATAAGTAACAGTAAAAAGATGGCGGATCTGAAGTTCAAATATTGTTATGGTGCTTATAAGAGGTTAATTAAAGGGAAGGATGTTGGTTTAACATGTCACATTTCACTGCCTATTAATCCTAGCTATTCAATAGATTAAAGACAACAAATTGTACTAGTTGACTCGGTCTGCACTGAGTTATCCGGAACAGACTAGTGGTCGTGTGCCAGGCTATAAATCAAAATTATTGTGTCAGAACTTATGGTGCTACCCAGCTATCAGTGTCAGTGTCTGTAAAGTATGGTATGTGCTTTGCGTCGTCTAAGTGCATAGCACTGTTGTTACAAGATTGGTAGGAGCCTGTACACGCACTCACTCTTCCGGGTGAGCCACTTCAAGTTGTTGATGTTTGTGTATCTAGGTAGTTGCGTGAATGCTGGCGGACGGGTGACGCATGAGATTTCCAAACGTATAATGAAGGCTAGGGTGGCATACTTCAACTTGAGTCACCTCTGGTGCCGTCGCGATGTTAGCCTGGCTGTCAAAGGTCAGGTATACAATGATTCGGTGGGGGCTGTCTTGCTCTACGCCTGTGAAACCTGGCCTCCTCGAATACGCTGAGGATGTTCGGCGACTCAGCTTGTTCGGTCCTCGCTGTTTCCCCAGGATTGCTTGCGTTCAATGGCATCATCGCGTGAGTAATTCTGAGGTTCGGCAGCGTGTGTTTGAAAACAGTTTTTCTGCGTTTAAATACATAAATAAACAAATCCAGCTATCCAAGCTAAATTAGGTGGAATGGGATTAAAATATGAGATCTATTTGATGTAAATAGAATGTTTAAACCAAAAAAATCAAATCTCTTTAGGTAGCTCTATAAGCAGACATGGTGAATAAATCCCATTATTTACATAGTGAACACCAAGTAAATCACATCATAAAAAGTTAAAATAAACATACTCTGATGGATTTATTAATAACATAGAACAGAGTAAACACTAAGGAGCAGTTAAATTTCACGTCATATGATTAAAAAAAGTCTTTGTTCATTTCACAGAAAATTTATGTACATTTAGTAAAAAAAATTATTCTTATGAATAAAATCAATAAAATATTTCTGGAATTTTGGAGTCTCACTAGCCATAGGTGGTATAATTAGACAATGATAAAAGTAATGATAACGATGACATAATACAATTAAAATTTAACTTAGTTACCAAATAATTGTACTTTATTTAGTCTTTTTTCAAAAAAGGAGTGTGAATACAAATACACACACTTCTTGAATGTCAAGCGAAGTAATTGCTTTGAGAAAAACAAACCAACTAGCATAATTTAAAGAACAGTTTAGATAAAGGAGCTTAATACGTTTACTGTGCCTTCCTTGATTACACATATGCATTTAACTCTGTTCCCAGGTCTCTCTTGCTAAGTAAGCTTCCTGCAACACAGGCTGAGAGCTGGACAAATAAGTGGCTACATTCCTATTTTTCTGATAGAAAGCAGTACACCGTCTACAATGGAAAGTCCTCCACTACCTCACTTACTTTAGCTGATGTGCCTCATGGTGCTGTTCCTTCTCCTTTTCTGTTTTCTTTTTTCTTACATGACTTGCCCCATTATGATGTAGCCACATTTGTTAAGTATGCTGATGACCTCTCTGTTTCTATGCCTGTCAACTCTCAGTCAGATTGTTCCAATTTAAATAACTTTCTGTCGGAAATTAGTCAGTGGTCCTCTTCAAACGGTCTTAGGCTGAATCCGTCTAAATGTCAGGTAGTCAACTTCACTTTCAGATGTAAACGTGACCTACAACAACTAGTTATTTCACATGGCCCCACTATCATTGATGGCACAGAGGTCGAAAATACATCTACTGTCAAGTACCTTGGGCTGAGTTCTTCCACAGATCTTTCCTGGTCCTCCCACATCTTGCTAGTTACTACAAAGTTGTTTTGTTTAACGTTCTATGTTAGGAAGTTTAGGCAGTCTGGCATAAAGCAGTCTTTGCTTTATCAGTTTGTCAATTCTTGTATTCTAACCATCTCCCTATACTGCTCTTCATTAATCTTTCCTGGACTACTTAAGAAAGACTTTGCTTTGCTGAGAAGGGCAGGCACTAAAAGCCGTTAGTAGGGCAAGTGGGATATCATTAAACCAATTGGTTAACACTATCGTGGATAGACATATAATGTCATGTAAGAAACTAGCGAATACAATATTGTCAGACCCCGAGAATCCTCTCTATACTCAGCTGTCTCCTTGCATTTCATCTGGTAGAACTAGAAGCAGCTATAGGAGGCTATATGCTATGACTACCAAGTACAAAACTCCACAATACTATATCTGGCACAGCTGTTACGTGATGAGAAATCCGTTAGGTATGACACGATCAGCTTACTGCAGCACTCTAACAAATAGTCCCATTGGGTTTTTTGTTTTCCTTTCTTCGTTACTATTACACTGTTGTTGTCATCTTCTATCACACACCAACTTTATATTTCATATCCTGTGGTGCATTGTTTAAAATGTAAACGCAACGCTGTTGTTTTATTTATTCATTTTTTATTTATCTTCTTTTTTGAGGTGTTGCTTTTGATTTTAAAATCTTATAAAATTTATGAGGTAATTAGATGCAATATATAGTAATGCACGCTGATAATTCCATACCTGTACCACAAATACTGTTTGGAATAAAGCCGTTATTATTATTATTATTAAAAAAACACTTGAAAACCAAGGTGTATTGGTCGGTCGGCTGTTTCTTTCTGCTTAGGGATTCATCATCAAAAAGCAACAATGACCCTACACTAGGCACTGAACCCACGACCATCACATTAACGAGATGATGAACCGACAGACTATCCAACCATTACGGCAGAATTAAAATTAAATAGCCTCAGTATTGACCGATACTACTGGCAGAGTGTTATCATTCCATTAAGTGGGTAGCAATCTGCAATCCTTCAAATGAAAGTCGAATTCTTCAACGAATAGAGACAACATTCCATCCTGGGGCGAATGAAGTCTAACAGTGTTTTTTTATTCCTTCACGTTCCCCAATGGAACATAGGGCTTCAAGCTACAGACTTGAAGTTTCTGTAATAGTGTTTATTTTTGTAGGATGGGGTTGGTAGCCTCATACCCAACCTTTCCTCTTTACCAGCTTTATTTCTGGCTGAAAGAGGTTAAGGAGTGCATCGGCCAGGGATCGAACCCCGGACCATGTGCATGATCGGCAGGCGTCCTGACCGCTGTGCCACCGATGCACTCTAAAAGTGTTAAACAGTATTATTTTCGAGCACAATTTATTCCTCATAATCAATATCTAGGTACTCACAACTTCGTTTATATACATCTGAAAACATTCCACTACCAACATATCAGTAAAAAAAAATTGAATACACACACTGCAGTTTATAACATTTAGAGATCGAAAATGATCAATCAGCGGGACACTGTTCTGATTTGTTAACACTATTAAGTGACCAGTGAATAATAAATGGGTTCGAGTCCCTTCAAACTGATTAGTTGCATTTTAAAAAAAGCCAATGCTATTCACCAAAAGAGTACCGCAACATATAACATTATATGACTAACCAGTTGCGTACTACTCCCACAATGCGAGGATACAGAAGACAGACTAAGAAGGCACGATTTGTGCCTCCTCTCTAATCTACTACTGAACATTCACAAGCCAGAATAATTCTCAAAGTAAGCAGCTAGTATATTCACGAATACAATGGAATGAATGAGCAGACAGCTTATTACATCTTCATACATAAACCAAAGTGAGCCAAAAGTCGATTAACCCGAAGAGACCTGAAATGTTCTAGGCCTTAATCTACACATATAGTGTAGGGGTTGATGATACCACCTATTCACCTAAGCTGAATACGGAAGAGCAAAAGTCTGAACCCAGGACCAATAAGCAACCACAGTAATCACATAAACGTACACGTGGAAACGGTATGATGTATTCAACTGACCGATAAAAGCAACATCATCCTTGAAATTCACGAAAATTTAGTTGAAATAATGGAAACAGTTTGCATCGCGAATGGAAGATTTTCAAGTCATTACAGGTGTTGTCTAGAAAGACAATAAGAGGCTAAAAATTTACTGCCCAACTCAGAGGACGAAATTACATCGAAATCTAGTTGACAAAGGCTAACACCACAGAATCTCTACAAGAGAGAGTGAATACCTCATAGAACGAATGTTAAGGGGATTTGAAAATAATAATAATATCAATACATGCTCTGAGTCACTAAAACGAACTGCTTCCATCTTCTGAAACAAGCTGTAGATTGTAAAATCGATCAATTCCTTATCTTGTTCTTATCTGTGTTCTTTCTCCTCCTCATATAATGTTGAACGACAAATTTTGACCTGGGTAAATCAACTACCTATTGAAATAAAAGGAATGAATCACGTGTATTTCCATGCAGTTATTGGCAAAGCGCCGTGCTTATTGTGAGTGTGTGTGTGTGATACTGACTGATAGGTGGGGCAGGGTTCGAACTCATGACCCAGTGACCAGAAGCTAACAGTTAAGAGCAATGAGTCCCAGTTTCACACTGTTTAATACACAAACAATGGTGATAAAGTGTCCACTGTTACACTTCACTACCAGCCTTAAATGCATCACAAGAATTTAGATATGATAGGGAAGATTTGTAGCTCAGGTGGATGCTTCACAAGAATACTATATATATATATATATATATATATACTCACCTTGTTTTACCCAATCACACGATGGATTAACAGTAAGCCATGATGGAAATGCACCAATACCTTCACGTAAAAATTTAAACTGAAAATCATTCAATCCAATATTAGTTAGTGTTAGCGTTTGACTGCATAATTCATGAAAGCGTACACAACCAAAATCTAATTCTTGTCTATCCAATTCAGCTTGTGGTAATGATAAATTTGTTGTCAGATCGATACTTAATAATACAGATTCATAAGTACGCTGAAAGGCTGCACGTTTAATACGACGTAACTGTGAAAAGAAGAAAAAAGCAAAACATATTTGTCAAGTGAAGAGAGAAGAATCATCAAAATTATTTAACAGCAGGAGGTAGAGAAAATTATTAAAAAAAAACTGTTAGAGAGTAGATCAGTTTAAGTCTTATTTTCAGCAGTTTTATTTTTAACTATTACACACAGAGATAATAGTTTACAAGAAAACATTAAATACAATTAAATACAACAACAGTAAAGTTAATGGAGTTTAATGTGCTGGATATGCAGCTTATTGGCTTAAGCGAAGCATCCCAAGTTCGAATACCGCTCCATTCACTACTTCAACAATGAAATATCACTCAGCTACAACTCGTGATTCCTATTGCGTGAGGATTGGTTGTTATACTCCCAAGAGCTCCCCAAACTACGGTACCGCAAGTGCAGCCGCCAGTAGGAAGTCGGGCACCTAGAACAATCAACCACAGATCCACTACTTCAGTCAGTCTGTGAACCATTGCGTAGTACAGATCAGCTGTCACAACAATAAATCTGGCGACTCCAAGCCTAGTATACCAAATATTTGTTTGAAATAACGGAGTTTAAAAAAGGAGAATACAGTGAACGTAATCCTTTGGGACTCGTTTGCGTTCCTCAGACTCAACCTTTTCTCTACAATCGGAGTGACTATCGACTAAGCAAGGTTAAGGAAAAAGTCATTCGGGAATCGAACCCAGACCACGTGTATGGTTGGAGAGCATTCCACCATAGAATAATAGACGTACTCCGGGTAACTGTCCTTCTAATAAACAGTTTGAAAAATATACAGTGATGGTGGAAAATTGAATGCATGTATAGGTGTGTCGTTAGGGGTCCTACATTCCGCTGGAGATGCTACGAATGGATAATATAACAAAATGATAGATAAACAGAACTTTATCAGACACTTACAGCCTGATTTCTATGAAGTCTTGGAACATAAATACAGATAAATCAAGACTTCAAAGTCTTCAAGAACAGTTCTGCATTTCATCTAGTCATTATATTATTTTGTTTTTCGACCAATGATGAGTAGGGAGGTGGTGGTCTAGGACCGGCTTCTTGTGCTGTTTAGGGCTGATTCATCAGCTTAACGACATATCTCCCATTGAAACTTGAACCCAACACACATATATCGTTTCAGGCGCAAAATCTTTATTCATTCGGCTAATGACAATAACATTAAAAATTCTAATATATGTGTGCATGTTCAACTTACATTCACCGAAAAATAACCCGAGACTGGTTTATGATCACTACAAACAAATACTGGATGTGAACGATAGACAACTGGTTCACAGTCTTTACCCGACCAAAGAATACGATCACAGTAAGATGGTATACGATTTTTATCACTGTATTTTTTTTTAAAGAAAGACAGGAAGAAACGAAAATAAAATTAAAAAATAATGAACATGTTGTTGGGTGTGATCTTCGATATGTATCCACATGATGTGTGTTTCGTTTTTGACAGTCTGTTATATTTTGTTGTGTGTATATGGATCGATATTCCATTATAACTGACATTATGCTTTTATCTATCCACTAACTAAATAAACAATGTATGACCTTGTTATCACATGACATTACAACCAATCATGGTAAGACTGTCTGTCTATTGATTCATGTATACTGGTCATTTTCATATATACTCTTGCCTTGTATACTTGTTCACACGTTTCGTACACTACGTACCCTTCCACTCACACACTTGTGTGACATTTATTTTCCTTGTCTGGAAAATACAAGTATCATGGTAAACCTGGTGGTCTTCTGATTTCCCTCTTTCCGCGTCAGGACTATTAACTACTCGACGAGTACATAACATAATTGACGACGGGGAAAACTACAATTAACTACTCAGCAGCAGTAAATAACAATCTTGTTCTCTGAACTAAGCTTTCATTGCCTGGGGTATTTGATCTTTCTAATAAATATTACATCAATCGAACTATCAATATCAATACAGATTGACAATAAGATAAGAACACTTCTGCAGACAGTCAATCATAGAGCTAGGAGCATCATCAAAAGAGACAGTTATAATTTTTAAATACTAACTTATTACAACTCAAGTAACAAGAAACGAATTATACAAAAACAATAAAAGAAAACACAATATAATGCAAAATAAATGAAAGCATTGAGGAGTAGCATCTTGAGAACAGGAAAGCATGTTTATCAAAGGTATTTAACAACAGAATTAGAAAGAGAAGGATAAAACATATCCGCAGCATGTTTGCACCTTATTACGACTCTCAAACATAACTGATAATATCTTGATTCCAATCATGGTAGTCATGCCCGACCGGATAGCAGCTACCTTGACGTGGTGGTCAGGCTTGCACATCGCGATGACCCAACAAGCTACACTGGCTGGAACCAAATTTCCTGCAGGTCCTACCATGCCAGGAGGGTTGTTAGGATAACTATTAGACTGAAAGCAGTTACCGGAATAGTGTAAGAATTTTTTTACACTATGCCGGGGGTGTGGGCGAAGTTGTACTTCTGGGGAACAGGTATGTAACAGCACTAAGGTGTTTCCCTCAGATGACCAGCATCTCAGGCAACTATGCTGTCTCTCCACTCTGGAGACGAGCGAGGATTAGAAAAGGTCGGCCCCAAAATTTGTACATCCCGACTTCCCTACGGTGGTCCGTGACCGGCGGTAAGTTTACCAATAAGGAACCAAACCAAAAAGCCAGTTCATACAGGTCGTGTTTGACCGGTCTCAAGCAGTTGTCCCTTGTGCTCTGCGGTCACCCAACACTAACTCTCTTTCTTTTTCAGGTACCCGAAGAATATATCGACTTACACGGTGTGTGCAGCCGGTAAGTAACAACCGCCCATACACTTCCAAAAGCATTCGAAGCTCTCCGGTAGTCATGACGATGCATCAATAGATGTTGATCAAACACAACTGTACTACACTCCACAGGTCAAGGTTATAAGCTGACCAACCCCTATTTCGGCTTTTACCATCCAGTCACTAGGCTAGCAAACAATGAAGGGTATGAGGGTCGCTGAGATAACATTTGTAGCACAAGTTCAAACCATCGAAACCGATATCTCAGAATTCTCACAATGCTCACTTCACATTGTGAAGTAAGCACTCAAGATACAGGCGAATGGATGCTCCACAATTAAACCATCCAGGCTAAGAGGACAATAACCACACCCAGAAATAATATAGTTATCGTAATAAAACTACTAGTGTATGGGTGAAAAATAAATCAATGAGAGAAAGAGAAAAAGAAATAAGAACAACTAATAATATCACTCATTAATTGACACAACAGACAATGAATGACCAATTGTTATTATTATTATTATTACATATGTACATATAATAAACACAGTACACATAAAAAGACTTAAAAAATACAATAATGCTTCTCTCTACATCAGAGTAAACCAATAATACTTAAAATGTCTTAAATGTAGTATAGGTAGGTAGGTAGGTAGTTGGTTGTGTGCTACAAACACATACAGTGTACTAATATTAAAGTTGTTTAATAATACCAAAACTGATCCATAAAAGTAGTGAATATATAAAGTACTAAAAACCAGAGATTCACTGTAACACATTGTGTGCTAAACAAGTTACTACTATTCAGAAAGACGAAACAATGAGAAGAGAAGAAACGATCTACCAAGATGATTCAGTATGCTGTGGATCTAGGTTTCATACTTATCGGACACTGGTTAGCAAGGCAAATCTGAAAGCTTAAAAAAGTTGATGCTTCTTCGGCGTGAGATAAGAACCCATCACACACAGACACTAGAGTTGAAGTCAAAGGCGTTATCACTGAATGCAATTCCATGCAGCTATCAGTGAATCATACCTACAGTATGAGAGCCAGCGATACCAAGCCTCAATAAGCGGAGTGGGGTTCATACTTATGATCCATTGGCTGGTAGTGGAACGTCTAGACCTGATGAGTCACAACTCCACGAGCTATTAGGATCCACGATTGACGGATAAATAAACAAAAGAATTTACGATTCAATGAGAGATCAATTTAAGTGTAGAACTGACTGTAGTATAAATGTTAAACTTGCGACATTCTACATAACCAGAAAAAGGTAACAATGATCACAGAAGAGCATGATCGAATGCTTTGCCATTTCACTTTCAATTACCTACTGCGTAATCAATTTGAACACTCGGTCATTTTATAATTACTTCTTATTTTAAAGAATTAGTTTGTAGGGATTTGATTTGTTTCAAGTATGACCAAGAATTGATATCAGTTAGTGAACCACTGAAAACCATGGAGTATTGGACAGTCAGTTATTTCGTCCTGGTTTGGTGCTCTTCACTAGCATACACCCACTCCCAGCGCAAGAACCGAGGACCAGCCAGTTTTACAAGGCAAGCTAGTAGAACATCTAGCCAGTGAGACCCAATTCAATGAATAACCTATGAACTCTAACTTCTATCAATTTGTGATCTTAGTGTGACCACTAGTCAATATCGTCGATGAGTACCTGTCTTCACTCCCGAAAGGGTGAAACCAAAATTATGCATTATGTAATCCATTTATTTATTTCTACTCTTTAACTGTTGTATTAATTTTCTTGGTTAAATACCGCCGACTAGACATCTTGATATTGAGTGGGTATTATTAACAAACTTAACACCAGTAGATTGGTAAATTTTTGTTGTATTGTATTAGAGTGACTGACTGACTGGCTGGTTTCAACATAGAACTTTGCACCGATGTGCAGCAGTTCAAGACGCCACACTCCTTCCTTGTACCACACAAAACAAGGCAAGAAAGTAAAACGAAATGCAAAGTAGAGACAGTAAACAGAGATATGAGGCAAAAACAATAGTAATAACGATGAACAATATAGTTTTTTCATTCGGTATTATCAATCACAAGGAGTGAATGTATCTACGCCAGCCATTGACAACGATTTTGAGCCATATCCCCGATTGTCTCCAGCCTTTATTCCTTTTTATCATCCCAAGGACCGCAACCAAAAAGTCTACATCTCTGTATGCGGTTGGCTGGCTTAAACTAACTGTTGTGGATTTCATTGACTGACGAAGCCAAGTTTTCGTTTGACCGTCACCACTGGCTCTTTTCCAACCTCACCCTATGTCAGCTAACATTGCCCATTGTCGAGGAAGGTGATGGCTAGACATGCATGCGTAACACATGTCCTAACTATCTCAATCGGTGTAACTTCACAGCCTCGTCGATTGATTTCCCCTCCAACCCACCCCACCTATCACTCGATCACAGCCCAACCTTAATATTGCTCACTCTATTATTCCACCACTTCACACAAGAGATAGAACGCAGGCACCCATGACCAAAGACAGCTAGCCTGACTTTTCATGTCTTCCACTCTCAATGGCCAGGTCACACAGCCATAAAGGAGGACAGAGAGGACTGATGAGCAGTACACACGCCCTTTGGTCGACAGCAGGCTGGATATCACATCTACGCGAGAGACGACATAAACTGGCATGTGCGAAACTAGCCTTCTGTACTCGTGCTGAAATTTCGTCAGCACAGATGAGGATCTACCTGAAAAAATATATATTTCTTCACCCAATCATTTTATCGTCTATCTATAAAACTACTGGTTAGATAAATTTGCTTAACTGACACGGACACGCGCGCTTTTCGACTACTACGCCACATTTTGCTTATTAATAAAAACTCTTATTTCTGTGAAATTTTATGCCAAGAGTTTGCGGAAACTATCACAATTATTAACCTTTCGAACACTGAATCCAAAAAATACAATCTTATTGACAGATAATACATATAACTAACTGTTTGGATTTGTGGAATTTTTAAACATAAACACATCTATAATTGTATATATTGTTGGATTTATATGTTCAAGTTGCTCCAAGTCAGTGAGTTTATGGTTAAGATATCATTTTAGTTAACTGTACTGAACTATATTGCATGTTGTCTTATTGTATAGTTGTCGTCGCTTTTTGCCCTTTTTTCTGTGAACTGTTTCCTTTGTTGATGTTGTTCTCATTGTTTGTCCGTTATTTTCTGATTTTGAGGGGAGCAACCCAAAAAGTTGCTTCTCTCTAAACTTTTACTTAATGTAATCATTCTTTTCTCAGGCGTGAGGCTAGCAACCCCACCCTGTAAACAAAATTGCTACAGAAACTTCAGTATGATGAACCTCTTGCACCAAAAGAAAAAGTCTGTGTAGGAACATGGAACGTCCGAACTATGTACGAGACTGGGAAAGCTGCCCAGATCGCCAACGAGATGAAAAGATACGGAATACAAGTGCTGGGAATATGTGAGAGCAGATGGAATGGGAGTGGACTCACCAAATTGTCAACAGGTGAGTCAGTGATCTACTCCGGTCACCCAGAAGATAACCACACGCACACCGAGGGCGTGGCTATCATGATGTCACCAACGGCAACGAAAGCCCTGATACAATGGGAGGCGATTTCGTCCAGGATAATGACCGCCAGGTTCAACTCCAAAGGAAGGAAAGTGTCAATCATACAATGTTATGCACCCACAAACAACGCAGACCTCGAGAAGAAAGAAGAATTCTACAGGCAACTACAGGCAACAATGGACAATACTCCAGCTGGCGACATGAAAATACTAATGGGAGACATGAACGCCAAACTGGGACCAGACAATTCAGGAAGGGAACTCATCATGGGTAGAGAAGCTCTAGGAGAAATGAATGAAAACGGAGAACTCTTCGCCGACTTCTGCGCCTTCAACGAACTGGTGATTGGTGGCAGTGTATACAAGCACAAAGATATCCACAAGGCTACATGGGTGTCACCAGACGGGCAAACCAAAAACCAAATCGACTTCATCTCAATCTCAAGGAAGTGGAGGCGCAGCCTACTGGACACAAAAGCAAGAAGAGGAGCAGACGTTGGCTCAGACCACTATCTCGTACAAGGGACAATCCAAATCAAATTAAAAGCTTTCAGGGAATCAGGAGCTGCAGATAGACCACAAGCCAAGTTCAACACTCAAAAGCTGAAGGACCAGGCTACAAAGGACATCTTCATTGCAAGCATAAAGGACAAAGCCGAGACACAAATCAACACCAGCGAAAGGTCAGCGTCGAAAAGCACTGGAACAACTTGAAAACGGTGTGGAGCCAAACCTGCATAGAAATTCTAGGCAGAAAAAAGAGACAGGACAAACAGTGGCTCACTACGGACACTTGGAAACTAATAGAAGAGAGAAGGACAGTGAAGCAAAAGATTATCCAGTGCACGGACGAGCAACAAAAACAGGAGCTGAATGCAAGCTACAATACACTGAACAAAAGAGTGAAGAAAAGTGCCAGGGAAGACAAAAGAAAATATTATGAAACCATGGCAAACGAAGCAGAACAAGCTGCAGGCAAAGGAGACCTCGCCACACTCTACCAAACAACTAGGAACCTTTCGGGCAAACGTTCGACACAGATTAAGCCAATAAAGGACGACAATGGAAAGTCAATCACCAAAGAGGTGGAACAGAGAAAGCACTGGGTTGAACACTTCAAAAGACTTCTAAATCGTCCGCCACCTACAACACGTCCAGCAATACCAACAACGGAAGCAGAACTACCAGTGAACACTGACCCCCCGACGAAATCAGAAGTCCTGAATGCAATCAAGATGCTTAAAGCTGGGAAAACACCGGGACCAGATGGAATCCCAGCAGAGGCTTTGAAAATAGACCCAGAGACAACAGCGGACTTGATGACACCACTGCTGGAGAAGGTGTGGAAAGAGGGCAAAGTACCCGAGGATTGGAAGAACGGATACTTATTCAAACTTCCAAAGAAAGGAGACTTAAGTCAATGTAAAAACTGGCGTGGAATTATGCTTCTGTCCATTCCAAGCAAGATACTAAGTCGCATCATCCTGGAGAGAATCAAACAAGCCCTAGATGAAAAACTTCGTCCGGAACAGGCTGGATTCAGGAGAAACAAATCATGTATTGATCAAATCGCCACTCTACGGATCATCATTGAACAAAGCTTGGAATGGCAGTCACCTCTCTATCTCAACTTCATCGACTTTGAAAAGGCCTTCGACAGCGTCGATCGAGAGGTCATTTGGAAACTACTTCGCTACTACGGGGTCCCATCGACAATTATACACCTCATCCAACAGTTATACGACAATGCTGCATGCCAAGTAATCCACAACGGGAAACTTACGGAAGCCTTCGAAGTGAGGACGGGAGTGAGGCAAGGCTGTCTACTATCACCAATGATCTTCCTGATTGCAATTGATTGGATAATGCGACAGACAACGGCAACCAACGAGGGAACAGGCATAAAATGGACTGACACAAAAGACTTGGAGGATCTGGATTTCGCCGATGATATATGTCTGATTTCCCATAAACTGGAAGATATGCAAGTGAAAAGTAACAAGTTGGCAGAAGAAGCATCAAAGATAGGACTTCACGTGAACATAGATAAAACAGAGATGATGAAGATTCCTAGCCAACATCAACAGCAACAACAGACAACAATAAGCATAAATGGGAAGAACCTGAAAGAAACAACCTCCTTCACCTACCTGGGAAGCATCGTCTCAACTACAGGCGGAACTGACGAGGACATCAAAGCCAGAATCGGAAAAGCAAGACAAGCTTTCATTACTCTCAAATCTGTGTGGAGGTCAACAGCACTCAGCATCAAAAATAAGATCCGGATTTTCAACTCCAATGTGAAGTCAGTGCTACTATACGGATCAGAGACTTGGCGAGTCATAAAGAGCATCTCAAACAAACTTCAAACCTTCATTAACAACTGTCTCCGCTCAATACTCAAGATCAGATGGCCAGAAAAGATCAGCAACAGGGATCTCTGGGAGCGAACCAATCAGGAACCGATTGTGAAACAAATAGGCAGAAAGAAATGGAGATGGATTGGCCATACGCTGAGGAAACCATCAAGTGACATCACTAGACAAGCCCTCGAGTGGAACCCGAAAGGGAGGCGGCGAGTTGGTCGTCCAAGGGTGACTTGGAGGAGGTCATGTGAGGAGGAGATGAAAGCATGTGGACAGACCTGGAGCAGGGTGAAAAAGTTGTCAGAAAACCGAAGTCAATGGAGGTGCGCAGCTGAAGCCCTATGTTCCTCTAGGAACTAAAGGATACAATAATAATAATAATAATAATAATAATAATAATAATAATAACTGTTCAAAAGTGTCCAGTAAAGAGAGAGAGAGAGAATAATAGAAGAATCTGCTTAGTTAAGCAAGAGAGTCAGTGTATGCACATAAACCAAGCAAGCAGTATTATCGGGGAAAAAATTATACCTGGAATCGTATACATTGGAATTCATATCAAATTTATAAGTAGGCGCAAAGTTAATAGGCGGTTCACGATAACCATCAAATGCTTTCCGACTTTCAAATTGTTTTAATAACTAAAACAAATAATAAAAAGAGAAGAGAATTTTAATTCGTGAAAAATTTCCATAGAGATATATAAAAAGAAAATTACAACAAGTGATTCAGTGAAGAGTGTTTCACTTTTCAACGAATTTATCACCAAGCTGAAGACAGTCGCAGATATATGATTTCTTAAATAATTATATGAATTGTGATTAAAAAAGAGAATTTTATGGGGAAAGCAAAAGGGGGGCAAGACACTAGGAAAACGACAAAATTAACATCATGTATAAGATAAACTGTGTCTCAGTGGTTTCATGGTAGATAAAACTCGCCAACCACACACACGTAGTGTGGGTTCGATTTCTACTACTGGTGTTGTAGAGATTTTGTTTGATTGATTGGAGGATTTCATCATGAGCTGAGATTGGTTAGAGAACCATTGGGAAGCCGGGTGGGAGTACTGGAAAGCTGTTTCGTCCTAGTTTAGGACTCTTCGTCAGGACGCGCTCACTGGAGTTCAAATCCGGCTGCAAGGCGAATTCGTAGACCATTAGGCCACTGAGACCCGATCCAATGGTCAGTTCATGAATTCTAACTTCTGCCAATTCACAACACAGCGCGACTCCCAGCCAATGTCTTCGGGAAGTATTTGTCCTCACACCCGACCTGCTGTGCACCCTACTAGTCACAACTTCTGACTAGAACCCCAGGTAACTACCTAGCTGAATAGGACAAGTCGCTAGTGAACATCTCATTGTTATTCAAGTGGTTTGTAGGGATTTGATTGGTTATAGGATTTCATCATGAGCTAACATTAGTTAGAGAACCATTGGAGGACCTGGGAGTACTGGACAGCTGTTTCGTCCTAGTTTGGGACTCTTCAGCAGTACACACCCACCGGGATTCGAACTCAGGGCCTTCTGGTTGCAAGGCGAATTCGCAGACCATTAAGCCACTGGGACCCGATCCAATGGCTCGTGGTAACTGAGGTCGGGGCTCGAGCGTAAGGTAAGGAGAGTAAGTCAATCAATGAGTCACATCAATTTAAATAGCTATAACAAGTGTCGCTTATGCGAAGTTATCACTTCTCACGACGAGTAATGTTAGTTCACAAGGGATTAGGCGGTTAGAAAAGACTTAGAGGTGGTCATATCAAAACCTGACAGCCCATGAAATCTTTGGCAGGTGATTTTAAGCCGTAAAGAAGTGTAAACTACATTGGTCGGAGTCCTTTGGGGATCTAAGATTCAATGGCTGAAACTTTTTGGTGATACACCTCAGAATTATTTTCACTTTTTGTAAGTACCCAGATGCACTAAACCCACATGTTACTATTCTTTCTCCCGTCGATTTCTGCTCCTGATGGTTCTTTTGATTTTCTTTGGTTTTTCTTTTGTCTACCTACCTTTGTGTGGTAACTGGTGCCCTTTGTGCGAACTCCTACGCTGAAGCTTAGTCGAATCCGCACTAACCTTCATGTAACTAATTATTTCCCCTCCCCTCTAGTACGCCTTTCTGCATATTGTAGTTTAACTGCAAATATTTCTTAAACTACATCTAGTGACAGCCTATACTTCTGTACTTTTGTTTTCAAGATTTTAGCTTTCATATTCAGTTTCATTCAATTCTGTATATCGAGACAACCAAAATAACACATCAAAAACAAAAAATGGAATACAAATCTTTCATATCGATACATCTTTAGACAACTACGAACATCAATCTAACCACCTTAAACAAAACTCTAACTTCACACACCTTCATTATTCATTCCTAGGATAAAATGTTTCGTTATTTTAGTTAGTAGGTGGTGGTGAACACAATAATTCAGCCTATGACGTCACATTAATCGCCCCCACCCTCCCACCTCGCTTATTGATACAATGACTATTAATTATGGTGATTAATACCAATTTCACATTGTTAATTGCATAAGACGTGATCTAGATTACAATTGGTATGTATATACAACTATGACAAAGTAAACAACATAATGTGTCATGTGTAATTAAATGCTGACTCATGACTACCTACAGTAATACGAATTATAGATACATATGGTGGTAGTAATTCGGTATGATTCGGAACACTTCATGATCAATCATATACAAACATTTTGCATTATTGATATGATAATTTTAAAACCTCAAGAGTCCAAATTATTATTATTATTAATAATAATAATGTACTTTCCAAGAGCTTGTTTGTAGGAATCTGATTTGTTCCAAATTAGATGTCGCATCGATGTCGGTTAGAGAGCCAGTGAGATGGGTCCCAGTGACTGAATGGTTTACAAGCCTACCTTGTAGATGGAAGGTCCTGGATTCGAAACCCAGAGGGTGTGTACTGCAGACGAGTTCTAAACTAGGACGAAATGGTTGTTTAGTACTCCCTGCTTTTCAGTGGTTCTCTAACTGATATCGTCCTGTGATCAAGTTTGAAACAATAAGCTTCCTTAATAAAAAGATAGATAGGACAGTATGTTGGAAAATAATATGTCCACAGGTATTCTCTTACAGTGGAAACATTTGTAAGGAAATTTGTCCGGTCTGTTTTCTAAAATAACACATGCATTGATAGTTCAGAGGTAGGATACCGGCCAGCCCCGCACAGGTGGTCTGAAATAGATTTCTGGACGGATGCAACCCTAAACCTCCCCTAGCCGGTGGTGGTTGGGCTTCAGGCTATTAGCTCCAACTCGTAAAACAACACAAGGGCTACTGAGACATCAAGGATTAAAGCTTGAACCGTATACTCATTAAAAAAGTACATTACTTCAGTTTAAATTACCCATCTGCTCAACATCTTGTATTACGTAACTTTCAATTTTATAGAATTCTGAATTTTGTTGACTACTAAGAAGTTAATGTGACCTTTGACTTCTTAGTCATATTTTTATTCTTAAAACTATATTATTGGCTCATTGCTTCAGACAGTGAAATATCAGCTAGTACGTCCCAGGTTTAAATTCCGCTATATCTTCTCTGATGTCTAAGTAAAAGAGTAGAACTGTCAGCATGATTCATCGTCTGGAACATAAGAACTCTGTTCCAGGTAAGTAAGCTGTCAACTACTACAAAAGGCATTTCCAACAGACTGCTGGACACCTTCACCAACATCTCCCCTTACTCGATGCTTAAGATCGAATGGCTGGTCAGAAAGGATATCTATGAAGGAACTGTAACAGGCAGTGGGGCAGCCAACGACCTATTTATTACCCAAAAAAGTATTCAGAAGGAGATGGAGGTGAACTGGACGTTCATCGTGGAGACTTTCAACTGACATCATGTGGCACACCACCGAGTGGAACCCCAATGGGAAGCGACAACCTGGGCGTATAAAACATGTCGAAGAGTAAATCAATTAGAAAGGAAATAAAAGCTGGTGACCAATCACCGAACTGGTTGAAATTGATGCTAGGTAACGGAGAATCATGGAGATGTAATGCTAAGGCTTAATGTTCAGCTAGGAATGTATGTAAAGAACGAATAATATTCTTTTCATCCACAAAGGAGATGAATGTCACTCAAAAACATCAGTATGATTATGTTCTAATCCAAGTTCAGTTATAGATATTTTCTACATAAATAATTTGGCATTAGGATAGTTATTATCAGTTCTAATATGTAGCTATAGTGTGTTAACGGAGTCAATAACCGCTAACTAATAAGACCACATAAACAATGTTTGAAATCAACTAATCAGAACAGGTCTTTCATGTGAGTTACACATATTTTATAAGGCCTGATAATAATACTACCCACTTTTAATTAGGATGAACTAGGTGGAGTGAGATTCGAATGTAGGATCTATTGATTAGCGCTTAGACTGAAGAGAACAGTAAACACCAATCACTATCAGAAGGAGAGATTTGAAAGAAGTCACATCTTTCACCTACCTAGACAGAGCATTATTACACCAAATTTGAGCGCGGCACGGATCAAAGGGTGTCAAAGTCAATCAGGATACGAAAAGCAACATAGACCTTCACTAATAAGTGTGTAAAACTGCTACAATCAGTGTAAAGAAAAAGGCAGTAGGATTTTCAACACACTACTAAAGTGAAGTCAATCAGTGCCTCTATATAGTTCAGGTACTCAGCACGTGTATCACCAAAGGCATTTTCAACAGCCAACGCCACAGGCTATTATCAATATAGTTAACAACATACTGCAAATCAGATGGCCAGCCAAAAATGATACACAATAAGGAACTCTAGCAACAAATCGACCAAGAACCTGGGAGGAAATGCAGACGGATTCGGACACACACTGAGGAAACCATTGAGTGACAATATATATGCACCGGACGACTATAGAGTGAAATTAGAATGAGAAACTACGAGTTGATCGTCCAAAGGTGTATGCAGCAGACCATGTAAGGAGATGACAACTTAGTAGAAACCTTGCGGTCAACTTTATGAGACTACAGAGAGCACACAGAGTCAGTCATATTCGAATATGCTGTTGAATTCATATATTCTACTTAGCAATCATGGAAAACGAAAACAGCCATATCTTCAATTGAATTCAGGTAATAGCAATTTGTGTAATTTAAAAAACACAAAATCAAATACTAGAAAAAGGGAATCGCGCTCATCTACATTAAATTAAATTGTGTCTACATAAGAAAAATATACAAGAAACCAAGAAACAAAAATTGAAAAATAAAAATAAAAGAAAGTACAAATAAAATATTAAGTACATACTTCATCATTTTTCAGTAATGAAGTAAAATCTTTTCCAAAAATACTTTTTCGTACATAACTTGAATCCAAGCCAACAATACGATAATTCAAATCTCCGAATACAAAAACAATGCTGAAAAGATTTAGGAGAAATTAAAACAAAGTTAGCATATTCGAATCGGATGCTATTGATATTGATAAGAAAAAAGTATTATTATTATTATCCTCACTATTCCCTTGACTTTTGAGAGAAGTATGAAGAGGCTTCAACAACACATGTTCATTTTACTCTGTGAAGTCTTTTTCAGCTGACTCCACAACTGCCCTTCATTTCCTCCTCAAATGCTTCGATAAAGGAGGAATAGAGATATGTCGAGTAAATTTGATGTATTACGATATTTATAACCAGAAGACTTCGCAGTCTGTCTGTCTGTTTTCGACATAGAACTTTGTACCGATGTGCAGCAGTTCAAGTAGCCACACTCCCTCCTTGTAGTACACAAAGCAAGATAAGAAGGTAGAAGAAATGCATAATGAAGACAGTAAACAGAGGTGTGAGACAAAGGAATAGTATTAACGAAAAACAAAACAGTTTCATTGGAAATCATAAGTCACAAGGAGTGGGTGCATCTGCGCTAGCCGTTGAGAACGATTTTGAGCCATGTCACCAATTGTCTCCAACCAATGGTTTTTACCGTCCCGAGGACCCCAACCAGGAAGTCTACACCTTCCTACGTGGCTGGTTTAGACTAACTGTTGTAGATTTCATCGACTGGTGAAGCCATGTTTTCGTTTGACCGCCACTAGCTCGTTTGCAGCCTGACCCTATATGTCAGCTAACATTGCCCACTGTCAAGGAAGGCGATGACTAGGCATACGTAACACATGTCCTAACCATCTCAGTCGATGTAGCTTCACAACCTCGTCGATTGATTTCCCCTCGCAGTCACCTAGCACTCGACGCCTAACCTCAATATTGTTCACCTTATTATTCCACTTCACACGGGAGAAAGAGCGCAGGAACCTATGATCAAAGACAGCTAATCTCAGTAAACATTAATCTTCATCATAATTGATTATGTACATGACAAGACCTTCAGACATGTAACCAGCAGCTCTATATAAGACTCAAATTAACAGTCGTACCCTCTAACTAATAGTTCAAAACCTCTAACTTCATAACCTTTCTAACGTAGTACTACTTCAGCTGACAACATTGCTAGTTAACGAAGACTCTGGTTTGCCATGAATCACCAATCCTAGCTGACACTGAATAATAAGTGATTCAGTAAAGCATACTTGCTATTGATCGGATTTACAGAATAAACACAAATGAGAAGTCTTTCTTTACCCAGCTTCATGGACGAGGATGTCAACTGTCTATTCCCGAATAAAAACAGATTTCACCATGAACCGAAATTACTTAGAGGATTGATGAAAACTACGTACAGCTGTTTCATCTTAGTTTTAGACTATCCGGCAGTGCGCGCCTATAACGCTACCGTGAGTTGAATTCAGGATTTTCAGGTTGTGAGACGAGCTCATTATCTAATTAGACACTGGGACGGAATTTAATAGGCCATTCCTATACGTTCCCAGTGTTCCATAGGGTTTTAAGCTAGAGCTATCAAGCTTCAGAAGAAGTGGTGTTTATTTTTATGGGGTTTGGTTGCTAGTCTCACGCTGAACCTTTCCTGTTTACTGTCCTTACTAGTGGTTGGGAGAGGTTAAGGAGTGTGTGCATTGGTTGGGGGTCGAACAATGGACCAAGTGTACTGTCGGCGAGCATTCTAACCATGAACCACCGACACTCAAAACTTAATGGTTATAGATTTCTTTTAAATCATCCACAATGGCACAAATGTGTTCACTCTCTGTCAACATGCAGATCCTGGAAAGTTTCAGTACTTCTCAATTAATTATGCTCTCGATTACACACACACACACACACACACACACATTTGACACCATAACAACATCATACTATTCCTGCCTCTCTATTTTTGTGTATTTTCACAAAATGTGTCAACTACAACAGCGCTAGTGTTGAGTGACGCCAATCATACATAGACTGTTTTACAGTGATTTCCAGTGTTACGTGCACATGAAGACCATACCACCGCGTACGGCCCGCTGCATAGTAAGTAAGTCGGGATACATAATTTTCACGTTCAACGTTTCCTAACCCTGACTTTAGCAAAGGCAGCACACCTGGCTGTACAAAGCATTACGATAGCGTCCCAAATCAACACCAGCTAGAGAGTCACTGAAAACCACCACAGAGCACTGGATAACTGTTTCCAGCTAGTTTGAGGCTCTTCTATGATTATCGAAATGATACTGATTCGTGGTCAAACCTGCATTGAAATTATTGAGAATCTCTCAGAAATTCACAATCTAAGTGTCGATTTCTAGCTGACTGGTAGCTGCTGGATGGTTATCTTGAAGTTATAATGAGAATTTGTGACCATTGGGATCGATGCACATCAAAGACATTAACTTGCAGTAGGTCGTCTATTATATCACAAATTGACAGAATTTGAATGCACAGACCACTGAATTTCGACTCAAGCTGCTGAATGACCTATGAGCATGGTCTCGTAGCCTGAAGATCCCAGGATTCAATTCCTAGCAGGGTCATAGGCACCCCAACGTTGAAGATTTCCTAATCGGGATGGAACAACTGTCCAGTGCTACCTAGTTTTCAATGATTCTGAACCTGAAGCGTGGGTTCGTAACGAAATCTACACTAAAATTTCATCCAGATCCCTAAAAAAATCTAAAATATAAACTGTTGGATCGTACAATCTTATGAACTAATTCACTACCCCATAATATATATACTTAATAAACAAAAATAATTCAACTTACTCATGATCTGATATATATGATCGTTCAGGTGGATAAATTATACTTTTGGGATTCATCGGAAATTCAAATATCATTTTACGAGTAATTTCACGAAAATCTTGATTACGTCGATCAAGATTCAATTCACCAGCAGCCAAATGACAATTAACAAAGCACAGAGATGAATTGAATACAGTTAATCGAATACCGACACCGCCTTTGTTACCCTGAGTAGAGGAACACAAATCAGACAACAACAACAAAAAAGAGCAAAATTAGTAACTTTATAAAGATTAGTTGAAATAATTAATATTCCACTGCTTCTACGCATCACCAACCAAGGAATATCTTGTTCATTTCATGATATCGTCGTAGTAGTGTCCATGTTCTTGGAGGCTACATATCAACAGACATCGAGCACTTCAATCCAATGTAGTTAATCCGTGGAATACATTCGAGATAACTTGAACAAATAAGAAATTGATACCCGTTGTACAAGAAAAGGTTCTCGTGGCTAGCGAATACTGGGACCAATTGGCAGAGGGAATGCCATCCACCCACCCACTGGGATGCAAGTGGTACACGCACCTGACAAGCAAACCATAAATACGACGACACGTGCCAGGCGCTACCAACTAAACCAAATGTACAGAATTTTAATTAAGATTTATAACATCTAAAATCTCCTTAGTCATATTACGCAATTCCATATCGACTTAAATATTTGCATAAAAAAATAATCATTAAAATTCTGCATGTACTCGGTGACATAGTAAATGAATACTACTACTATTCTTTCAACTACTGAGTGCCAGGTTTGAGTCCTACTCCATCAATTTCAGCCAACCCTCACACATATTAAGCATGACCCAGGTGGTTGATACATGAAAATTTGTGATATATGTGGGATTGAATTTTCATTGGTGAAAGGTGAAAGGAAGACAGTAGGATAGTGAACTGTCTGTCTGTCTGTTTTCGACATAGAACTTTGCACAAATGTGCGGAAGTTCAAGTCGCCATACTCCTATATGAAATTGGTGGCGCGGCTTTAAGAGGCTGTCGGTGGTGGTTTTTTGGCTTCCATCGTTTTTAGTGAATGCAGAGTGGAGAGGAAGTGGAGAGCTATCAAGTCGAGGAGTTGCATCAGTGAAAGAAGGCAAGATGATAGAGATGAAGATGAAAACAAAGATGAGTGGGGATCAGAGAGGTTTCGCGTGCGTTTCGGATTGTGAGGGCAATTGTTACTTCCCGGCTGTCCACACCGTGGAAGTTGGTTGCGTGACCGCTGAGTCCAAGGGACAACTGCTTGAGGCCGGTTACACGCGGCCTGTTTTTGTTCGTTCTTTATTGTTTGGTGTGTCTCAGTAGCATATTTATCACTTTTGCCCTGTGACATGGCAGCAGGAAGCGCGGTCGTTGTTAATCCGAGGCCACGGCCGATCCGGCATGAAATCTTGTGAATTTGTTTGAATCATGGTATTGGATGGGGTAGCTGCTTTTTGTTTAACCGCTATCCAAACAACCTTTCTGGCATGGTATGACCTCAAGAGAGACATAAGTCTCAGCCAGTATAGCTTGATTAGGTCATTGCGGTGTTCAAGCTGGACCACCACGTCAAGGTAGCAGCTTTCGGTCGGTCGGGTAGTGAAACACAGTTTTGAAAGGTAACAATTAGGATTATAATACATGTATAGATGCATCTCCACTGAATAAGAATAAGAACAGTTCTAAGAGCGACATCATCATTAACTCCACCACTAGGCCTCTACAGTATTCATACCAAAAGTCGTTGAATCCACGGTTCCTTTGAGCAAGTCACTCAATTTCCTTTTTCAACCTAACCCAGCCTTTAGCTAGACAATGCACATCCAGAAGGATAGATAACAATCACTAATATGTATTAATAGTATTTATCAACTGACCATAACATTGAAAACACCCGTAGGTACAACTTGACAAGAGATTTCATCACGATGTAAGTGACTGGATAGACGAGCTGATATATACACAATCATGATTATACCAGCTAGACGAACACGTTCTACGCGTAGATAACCACCACCGGTGTGGTGAAACCATTGAGCAGCAAACGATTTAACAGAACCCGTTTTCTGTGCCCATAATGCATGTGGTGATGGTCGTTTTAATAAACCGCCTAATGCTTCTTCCAATTGTTGAACCCATTTCTCCTCTGGTCCAGTAGGACTGGTTTTGTTTAATGTAATCACACTGAGACTTAAATCCATCTCTTGAAATCTATAATGTTGTAAAACAAAAACGGAAGCGGTTAGAAAGTATCATTAACAATAGATGATAAACGGAACTATACTCATCATTCAACCAACAACAAAAAACACTATTCAAATCTGTCTGTCTGTCTGGATTCAACATAGAACTTGGAACCGAAGTGCAAAAGTTCGAGTTGCCACGTTCCAAATACCACACAAAGGTAGACAAGAAGATGAGTGAAGAGAATCAATAGAGTTTGACAGGTGTAAGAGTGAAATAGAATGGGTAATGGTAGAAAGAAATATGAAAGATTACAGAGACTGACAACGACTTTGAGCCATGTCACCTATTGTCTCCAGCCATTGATTCCTAGAGTCAGTCCCGAGGGCCCCAACCTAGAAGTCTGCATCTCCCTACCTGACCGACTCAGTTTAACTACTGTCAAGGATTTCATGAATTGATGAGGCCATGTTTTTGTTTGGCCACCACTTACTCTTTACCAACCTGAACCTATATCAGCTAGTAATGCCCGTCGGGGAGGGGGAGGCGATGGTTAGGCATGCGCAGCACGTGACCTAGCCATCTCAATCTATGTAACTTTATAGCCTCGTCGTCACTATTCAAATGATGTGCTTATACTCATTTAACAATTTTTTAAAGAATTATTTTAACTAAGGTGGAACAGTAAATCTAACTGGTCAGATCTCTGTACAAATATGACAAGAAGCATCTGTATCCATGATTCCGAAATGCCTTAGACGAAATGGGTTACCCTAGTCAGTATATAACTGACTGTCTAGCTGTCTGTTTTCGACGTAGAACTTTGCACCGATGTGCAGCAGTTCAAGTCGTCACACTCCATATAGCGCACAAAGCAAGGGAAAAAAGTAAAACGAAATGCAAAATAGAGACAGTAATAACGATGAACAATATAGTTTTATTCGGTATTATAAGTCACAAGGAGTGGATGTATCTGCGCAAGCCATTGACAACGATTTTGAGCCTTATCACCGATTGTCTCCAGCCTATGGTTTTTCCCGTCCTGAGGATCCCAACCAGGAAGTATACATCTCTCTCTACGTGACCGACTTACACTAACTGTTGTGGATTTCATTGACTTATGAAGCCATGTTTTGTTTTAACCACCATTAGTTTTTTCCCAACCTGATCGTTTGTCAATATTGCCCAGTGACGATCAGCTTGACCAATATGATTTCTGAAGTTCTAATCGGTATATAAGGATAGAAAGTGAAACTAGTCAAGATTATTAAAAGAAACAGTTGTTCATGAAACTCCAACTCAGCAGAGAAATGGTCAGAAGAAAAAGACATATCTGTTTGTGTGCTTTTAGAAGTGTGTGGGTGGCTGTTACTTTCCGGCTGTCCTCACCGTTTAAGTTGATGTATTCTTCGGGTACCTGAAACAGAAAGGGGGTTAGTGTTGCGTAACCACAGAGCCCAGGGGACAACTGCTTGAAGCCGGTCACACATGGCCTGTATGAAACGGTTTCTTGGTTTGGTTCCGTATTAGTAAACTAACCGCCGGTTACGGATCACCGTATAGGGAAGTCAGGATGTGCGATTTTTGGGGTCGACCTTTTCTAACCCCCTCTCTCTGGAGTGGAGAGACAGCATAGCTGGCTGAGGTACTGGTCATCTGAGGGAAACACCTCACTGCTGCTACACCCCTGTTCCCAAGCAGTACGACTTCGCCCTCAGACCCCCAGCATAGTGTAAGAAAGATTCTTAAACTTTTCCGGTAACTGCTTTCAGTTTAATCGTTATCCTAACAACTTTTCTGACATGGTAGGACCTGCAGGAACATTGGTTTCAGCCATTGTAGCTTGTTGGGTCATCGCGATGTGCAAGCCTGACCACCACATCAAGGTAGCAGCTATCGGTCGGGGAAAAAGACATATACTTCTGCCATCTACAATTTACGACTTTTGAGTGGATTAATTACCATTGTTCAAGCGAAAGATGGAGTACACCACTGTACCACTTTAATGTGCATTTAGCAATTTAGATTCTCCTGTAAAGAAAGCGAAATAGGTCCAACAATTAGGCAGCTTAACAAACCCCTTACTGATCACCTTATTTCAGAGGTTGGGAAAGATCTAATAAAATCCAGTAGAAGCTCCATGTTGCCTTATTTGATCAATATTAGTCACCAATTAGAGAGAGAAAAGAATTTGAATTCATCTTTCATATATAACCGAAGCTGTGGGAATTCAGATGGATTGCACCAATCTTAGCATTCCAAAGATACTTAGTCTATCGTAATACTACTTCTCTTGGCTTAGGTAAGTCTAATAAACTAAAGAAAACATCTCATCCCTTTCATACATTTGCCGAATTGATTTAAATTCTGATTATTTATCCACTTTATCTTTGATATTACGTAACCTTTGCTTTTTCGTAAGACTCCGACCTAGTTTAACTATTGATATATTCACAGTGTCATACTATCTTCATCATTCTTATCAGCACCTACGTCAACCACTTGTAATTTCGCATTCATTGAGATTATTGCCGTTGTTATTATCACCATATTTACAGTGCTTAGCACTTATTTAAGTCAATGTTGTTCTCCTAGTTGATTGTTTAAACTCAGATAGTCGTTCTCTGTGGACAGGTTGGCTGGCTACTAGTTCGGAGGCTTGGACGATTATTTGTTTAATAACTGATACCTGTTAGACAAGAGGTAATTTTTATGGTTCAGTTGGTCTGGTGGATAACGCTTTGTCGTTTGAAACGATGGGTGCTGGGTATGAACCTCACTCGTGTACTGGGAATTCAAGATACATCCACAGTTGAGGGGTTCTGATTAGGACGAAATGCGCACACCAAGGATTCCGATGCTAGTCACTATCCATCCACTAAATAACTTAACACTTCCACTTAATCCACAAATTCAATCGTCACTGGTTGAAATGTTATGTCCATAAGGCAATATAAAGTAAATGCCTGAAAAAGATTCCACTGGAAACAATACAGTTCAGCTATGTGTCTTAGTTAGAAATAAAAAGGAAGAATTACCCGAATACATAAATATCCGCTGGAGGTTGACCATCAGGTGGCATAAGCCAATCATCTAATGGCATACAATTATCACTTCGACCATTCACATTCCATGTACCAAGATATATACTAATCTTTTCACTTTTACAATATTCATTCATACGTTCTGTTAACTTCTTTTGTATTAAATTACCAGCTTGATTGAATCTGGCTCGAAATACTCGTGGTTCCAGGTATCTATAATTATTGCCATATAAAATAAAAGACATGTATCAAAAAAATTAAGCTTATTGACTTATTTAAAATAAAGAATGAGTATATATCATTGATGTCAAAAGGCAAGTTGGCAAATAACACCAATATATAGGATTCTGAGTGAGCTAAAATTCGGATAGATATATTTTAATGTATGCAAATAGTCTAATAATATGTCTTATACCTTTAATGGTAAATATTCATCATCACGAACCGTTAACTTTGTATTTTCGGTACTTTGTAAATCAGTCCGGGAAGATGTTCTTGTCAACAAAACCCAGCCATAAGTTGATCTCCGCCTGTGTAAAAGATAAGCTTTCACGTCTGGCCACTTCTAGGTACATCTATCTATTAGTTCACCCACTCTTGTGGAACTAGATACACAGACCGTAGCCAGAGAATGCTTTGTACACGGATTCGAAAAGCATAATCCAACATGATTTTACAAGACTGGAAGGAGAGGTATGAGAAGCTTATTTCTAGAACACTTAATCGACTTGTGTCACTCTTCCAACTCTGACCATGACTTTTAGATCATTTGTTGAATTTATGGTAACTTGCTGCATTCTCTACGTTTCAAACTTACAAAGACAGAATTCAATTCAGACCTTTGTGTACAGAAATGTACGTAAAGTCGCTATTTCTCCCTTGAACGTGGAAGGATAAGCAACTACTTATTTATTCTTATTATTCGTTTATTATTATTTTTTCGTTTTTTTTATTGATTTATTGATTCGTTTGCAAATGAATATGGTATCCCTAATTTTTACAATGGGAGTTATTAAATTCAATTTTATTGTTCACAAACATATCAGTTATAACTTGATATATATATCCATATAATATGTGTATTTGTTTGACAGTCTGATACATTTTGCTATGTATATATGGATCGATATTCCATTATAACTAGCCAATCATGTTAAGACTGTCTATTGATTTGTTCATTTTGAATATTCGCTCACACAATTGTTCGGACATTCATATATATATTTTTGCTCTCACACTCTTGTGGGACATATTGATTCTCCTTGTGTTTGGAAAATAGAAGTATCATCGCAAACCTAGTGGTCCTCTGATTTCCGTCTTTCTTGCGTCAGGACTATTAAATTCTCGACCAGTACATAACAATAATTTGGCGACGGGGAAAACTATGGATCCTTCTAAATTGGAATTACTATTTGAACGACAAATGAAATTAATGGAAATGTTCGTCAACCAACAGACTGGTCCAGCTTCACCTTCAAGCAATCCGAACCATACCATGCTACCATCTGTCGACGGCATTGTGAATAGTATTTCACAGTTCAATTATGACCCAGAGGCTAATGTCACTTTTGACACATGGTATCAACGATATGAGGATTTATTCATAGTTGATCTCGCCTCACAAGACGATGCTTGGAAGGTACGAGTGTTATTACGTAAATTGGGTCCGGCAGAATACGAACCGTACTGCAACCTAATTTTACCCCAGAAACCACGTGACAAGTGTTTCGATGATACAATAAAGCTGCTGCGTGAACATTTTGGAGACCACTCCTCATTATTCAGCATACGTTATCGTTTCCTCAAGCTGGCAATGAATGAAAATGATGATTTTCTTACTCACGTTGGCACAGTCAACCGAGAATGTGAGAGATTTCGACTCAGGTCCTTAACAGATGATCAATTCAAAGCCTTGATTCTCATATGCAGTCTTCAATCTCCTCGTTTCACAGATATCCGAACTCGACTGCTCAATCAGCTAGAGCAAAATCCTAAGGTAACATTACATGACATAGCTGATGAATATCAACGGCTGATTAATTTGCAGAAAGACACACACCTGGTCGAATCAACACCTTCGAGAAGCTCTGATATTCATGCTTTACGAAAGAGCAAAAATCTCTCATCATCCACTCCTGACCCCCCTTCTCTTAATGTCCCGCGGAAATCTACACATACTCGTCCAACTTCACAAAATACTGCAAAGAAGACCCCACCATCACCATGCTGGCATTGTGGCGCGTGGCATTTTGTAAAGTCTTGCCCATACAAAAATCATCGTTGCAGCAAGTGCAAAATCATTGGTCATAAAAATGGATTTTGCCAGCCACGCAAACTCAGATATCAAAATACAGCGAAAGCTCGACCAACTGTTGGTCCTAAATCCCCAAAAAAGTCAATGAGTCGCAACCTGTCAAGTCACAACACCAGGTATGTGGAAATATCTTGATCTTCAGATGAATGGTCATGAAACACATCTGCAGCTAGATACCGCCTCTGATACTACTGTTATATGAGAGAAACTTTGGAATGATATCGGCAGACCATCTATCACAAATACTTCCCAGACTCTTGTCAGCGCCTGTGGTGGGCGGCTCAAACTAATTGGTGAACTCAAATGTTCTGTTTCATTCCGCAATATCAAATTCACAGGAATTTGTTACGTCACCAAGAGTGATTTATATCTTTTTGGACTTGATTGGTTCGATCGTTTGCATCTGGCTGATGTCCCACTAAATTCCCTATGCAATGCAGCCAAGAAACATAAAATGTCAGATAATTCCGGACGAAGCCGAAGCCGCAAACCCAACAGGCAGACGAGGCGACAGACGTCAACAACAAGCTCAACGGTTCCAGATAAACCCCCAGGTAAACATCCTACTAATCATCAATCTTCTCAAAAGGGGAGGTGATATATATATCCATATAATATGTGTGGATGTTTGACAGTCTGTTCTTGGTGACATGTATCCATATAATATGTGTATTTGTTTGACAGTCTGATACATTTTGCTATGTATATATGGATCGATATTCCATTATAATTAGCCAATCATGTTAAGACTGTCTATTGATTTGTTCATTTTGAATATTCGCTCACACAATTGTTCGGACATTCATATATATATTTTTGCTCTCACACTCTTGTGGGACATATTGATTCTCCTTGTGTTTGGAAAATAGAAGTATCATCGCAAACCTAGTGGTCCTCTGATTTCCGTCTTTCTTGCGTCAGGACTATTAAATTCTCGACCAGTACATAACAATAATTTGGCGACGAGTACATAATATAACTACACAATTTCGAAACTTGAGTTTTATGGTTGTCTTTACTTCTTTTCCTTTACAGGGGTGGTAGAATTTTCCACTTGTCTATGGCAGGCGTTCAATCATTTCTTTTTTATGTGGTTGTGTTCTCTGAGCTGGATAGTTAATTTTCGAGGCTTTCATCGTCCCACCACTAGGCGACATCTTCAGCACATACTTCAATTGGTTGAAGTGAGCTTTTAGATTTCTCCACGAGTTTATTATTAATCTCTCTTGATAACCTTGGACGTGAGTGGTTGTTTTGTGTGTTTTCACACCATCTAGGTTACTTGTATTGGTATTGGTTATGATTGTTTCCTTGACTTCAACTCTGACACGTTGTGTGTGAGATTTCCTTCTCGTTGGTTGATAAATTTTTCCTATCTCGATGTGTCTATTGATTGACGACTTACTAGAATACCAAGCGGGCTTCTATAAATTCTCTAGCATTCTGCTGTTTCCTCTGTCTAATATTTGAACGTTGTCCTAGTCTGTCTGTCTATCTGGATTCAACATAGAACTTGGAACCGAAGTGCAGCAGTTCGAGTTGCCACGTTCCAAATACCACACAAAGGTAGACAAGAAGATGAGTGAAGAGAATCAATAGAGTTTGACAAGTATAAGAGTGAAACAGAATGGGTAATGGTAGAAAGGAATATGAAAGATTACAGAGAATGAATACATCTGCGCCATTGACAACGATTTTGAGCCATGTCACCTATTGTCTCCAGCCATTGATTCCTAGAGTAGTCCCGAGGGCCCCAACCTGGAAGTCTGCATCTCCCTACCTGACCGACTCAGTTTAACTGTCAAGGATTTCATGGATTGATGAGGCCATGTTTTTGTTTGGCCACCACTGGCTCTTTTCCAACCTGAACCTATATCAGCTAGTAATGCCCGTCGGGGGAGGCGGTGGTTAGGCATGCACAGCACGTGACCTAGCCATCTCAGTCTATGTAACTTTATAGCCTCGTCGATTGATTTTCCCTCTTTGCCCAACACTCTACGCCTAACGTCAACATTACTTATCTTGTGAAACCACCTAACGTGAGACAGAGATCGCAGACATCTATGATCGAAAGCAGTCAACCTTTTCATGTCTTCAACGCGTATTGGCCATGTTTCAGAGCCATAGAGAAGGACGGAGCGAACTGATGAGCAGTACACACGTCCCTTGGTTGATAACCGGATGTCACGCCTACGCCAGAGATGGTGTAAGTCAGCGAAAGCAGCTCGAGCTTTTCGGATCCGTGCTGAGATTTCATCGCCAATCAGTCCGTTGGTGCTAATACAACTTCCCAAGTAGGTGAAGTGGTCAACATGTTCTATCACTTCACTCCCTATCACTAAGTTAGGGATTGACGGGGTCCAGTCCTGTAGCAGCATCTTACATTTTGCAGGGGCGAATCGCATGCCAAACATACGAAGATTGCTGCTCAAGGTGTTCAGAAGACTCTGCATTTTGTCAGCATCCTCCCCTAACAGGACTATGTCATCTGCATATTCTAAGTCCATAAGACTATTCCCTGGTAACAAGTCGATTCCTAAGTCACTACGTTCAGTTAAGGATACTTCCATCAGCATATCTATGATGAAGTTAAACAGAAATGGGGAAAGTGGACATCCCTGTCGGACACCACTGGTTGTTACCAATTCAGATGACAATTCCCCATAAGCCCTTACACGACTACGTGAGTTTGAATAGAGTGCCTTGATTAGTGCAATGTACTTTCTTGGCACTCCCTTCACAGTCAGACATTGCCATAGTACCTTTCGATCCACGGAGTCGAAGGCCGCCTTCAAGTCAAGAAATATGACAATTGTTGGACGCCGAAAAGTGTGTCTATGTTCTAGAATCTGTCGAAGAGTGAAGATATGATCTATGCACCCTCTACCTGGTCTAAAGCCTGCTTGATTTTCCCTTGTCTGTTCCTCCCGAGTTCTGCTTAGTCTATGCATGATTACTGAGCCTAGGATTTTAGAGACTATGTTCGTTAGGCTGATCCCCCTATGATTATCACACGAGGACTTGTTTCCCTTCTTGAATATCGGTATAATAAGTGACTTACCCCAGTCTGATGGAACTTTCTCTGATTCCCAGACTTTGCCTAGTACCTCAGTTAATCTACAAACTAGTATGTCACCCCCATATTTAAACACCTCCGGAATAATTCCGTCGGGTCCTGCCGCTTTGCCTCGTTTCAAATTACTGATAGCTTTTGTGACCTCACTTACAGACGGCGGACCAGTGTCTATATCCCATTCGGGTGTGTGCTGGATGTCGGGGAGGTTCAGTGTGGCTGTAGGCAAGTTAAATTGTTCCTCAAAGTGTTCTTTCCAGCGTCCCAGTCGAATTGATGCCCATGGTTGTCTGCGTGTAGTGATATCAGAGAGTTGATGTCATGTGTTTTGACGACTGGTTTATGATCATGGATACGAAGACGAAGGGGACGTCCACTTTCGCAAATGTAGTGTTTTTCGCAGTTGTTACAATTTATTTTGTAGATGATGTTGGTTTTATCTTCCTTCGCTGTTGAGTCTTTTGGTTGACATAGAACTGAATGAAGTGATTTTGTTGGTTTGTGTGCGACGTCGATTCCTAAAGGTTTGAAGAGTTTTGCAGTGATCTATGAGATATCCTTTATATGGTAGGACGATTTTCTTTGTGTTTTCCTCAAGGGCTTTTGGTTTGATAGGTTGACTTGGAGGTATATGTTTTTTGATGAAATCCTGTTGGAGGACGTCCATGAGATATTTTCCTTCAATTTTTTTTTCAATCATTTCTTTTGAGCGGATTTTCATTTGATTCGACAATTAACGCTTTCGTTATCAATCTCTCCCTCCACACTGTTACATTAGATTCGAAAATTGTCATTTTATCCCATCTTATTGCATTGGATGTGTGTAATTGCATGTCGTGAGTGCTATTTTTTTTATTTCTTCACGTTCCCAGTAGAACATAGAGCTTCAAGCTAGAGGCTTGACGTTTCTGTACCAGTTTTTATTTTTACAGAATGGGGTTGCTGTCCTAATGCCCAACCTTTCCTCTTTACCAGCTTTATTTCTGGCTTAGCGAGGTAAAAGAGTGAGTCGGCCGGGGATCGAACCCTGGACTATGTGTATAGTCGGTGAGCGTCCTAACTGCTATGCCTCCGACTCACAGGTGAGTGCTATAGCTGAGCTATTTAATAGATTTCTTATCTTATTTAGGTCAACTAACCTAGATTTTGCTAGGTTTCTGTGCTCCGATAGTCTAATTTACCCAGTTCTACTACTTCGTCCTATGTATTTAACCTGTCAGCCATTGTAAGGTTTTGGATAAACTGAAATTGTTTTATTTAATAGGCTCCACAGGATCCTCTAACCGACAAAGTCAGTTTCAAAGTGAGTTTGTGGGTTTGAATGCCACTTTTATATTCCTGTCTTGTCATCTTGTAAATAATAATACTGTTTCACTATGTGATATACCTAACAAACATCTAAATATGTAATAACGGTACTTCTTCTCTTATTGTTTCTATCTGCCAGTGATGGCTACTTCTGTTATTGTGTTGGTTGACATTGCGATTGGTGACGAGAGTAAGTTTCGTTGAAGTATTAGGTACATACTGCTTAGAGTCTGCTAGGTCATACTGTGGTGAGAGCAGGCCGTGAGAAAATATGAACAAGGATGATTCAACAAACAATCACAGCAAAGTTAACGTGGCAAAATATGATTCGCAGATGGAGAACTCTATTTGTCGAGTAAACCCGAAACAATCAATCAGAAGCCTGCGTTTGTCTGCCTAACTTCTGATAAACAACCAATCAGATGACTGCGCTTGTCTACTTGCATAAGCTATAATAATGTATGTGAAATATGTATAAATACGTGTTGATTTTCATAATAAAACGATCTGTTGCCTGACCCTTGTCTTCTGTTGTTACAATACTATCGATATATATTGGTTTAAGCTGCATAATTACGATTATTGTGTAGCGACAAGTGATAATACCTAGTTCTTCGCGCGTAAGGAGGTGAAGCGAGAATCGAGCCCACTACTCGATGGCTGAAAGCCGAGTACCTAAGCCAGTGAACCCACATCTCCACAATAAAAGTACATAGATTCATTGAACAGTATCTGTGTAGCACTGGACACTGAAAATACCGGGAATGTGATATAAAAACAAGAGTATAAGAGTAACAGAAAGAAGTCTGTCTTCTCAGGTAGTTGTGGGTTGTCGGCAGGAATACCTGGATTTAGGTCTCGTACTTGCAAGGCATATCTGTAATCTAGAAGGTAGTACCCTCTAGATTGGACATTCAAACCCACGCCACCCATTACTGCAGTCAGAGATGTTTCATTGAAGTATTCACAGGCCGGTGACAAATCTCCTGTTGGTCTAATGCTTAGTGTTGGTGCAGAGTTAGCAATGTGGTCACCAAATTAAATGAATTACATTGTAGTACATTACTAAATGATGTTAAACAATATGCATAAAGTGACGTGAACACCAAAGTCAGACAAGGTGGCCCAGTATCATCGATTTAAATTCCTGACTGCCATGGAAAAGGTCAAACGACAGACCATAGTGTGCGAGAAGACAAGAATAATTTGGGCTGACAAGCAGATTCTAGAAGATCTGGACTTCGTGGAGGATTAATGTATGATGTCACACATTCTCGAAGATCAGTAGGCGAAAACCAACAAGTTGGCAAAAGAGGCAGCGAAGACAGAACTTCATATCAACATAGATAAAACAACAACAACAACAACAGCAAACATCAATCACCATCAACAGGAGAAATCTAAAGGAAATCACCTATTTCACTTATCAAGACAACGTCGTTTCAATTACCGACAGCAGAGATGAGGATATCATAGGTAGGATCGGATAACCAAGATAGAAGATGTTCATTACACTGAAATAAGTTCTAAAATCTACTGCACTCAGCATAAGCAACAAGATTCTGATTTTCAACAGTAATGTCAGGTCATTTCTTCTATAAGGTTTAGCGGCTTGAAGCTTGAGCCACTCTCAGAGTATTCCGAACAGGCTACAGACTTTTATCAATAGCTGCCTTAGCTCCATACTGAAGATCAGAGGGCCAAAAGGTATTGTTAGCAACAAGTAACTGTGAGAACAAACCAACCAACAACATATTACCCAGCAAATATGCGGATGATACATACATATTGAATATAAGCCGAAGAGACTGTTGAGCGACATCATGCGCAAAGTAAGCCCACGAGTTGAACCTTGATGGGAGACGAGTTAGGTTAGAATCTGAGGGTGACATGAAGGAGACTGTATGAGGAGATGAAAGCTTACAGGCGATTTTGCAGAGAACAGACTCAAATGTAAATGTACTGTTGAAATTCTTTGTTCCACTCGGAATCCAAGGGAATAATAATGATAATATTTAACCAACAGAATGTAAACACAATTAGATATTGCCTACTTACTCTTTACTTTTATTCGACTGACTATCGTAGATATTGGAAGTGAGATCCAAACAACTATGCGATAATTTTACTGTCTGTGAAATAGGAAAACAGAAAAAAAGGTTAGAACAAACAATAACATACGTCCTGCAACATAATACATGTTACTGACCGATACAGTCGGCCACCAACCACTCATGTCAATTAATAGTGCATGCGAAATAGATCCAGGTAATGTAAACAACTCATAGCGTTCAATTTGTACACAGTAGAGTTCATCAGAGGCGTGCACCAGCATAGATCTGGCAAACAAGACCGGACCGATTCGTTTTAAACCACTTAAATTTCGCGCAGCTACATTTGCGGATTAATAATACCAAAGATCAGTTAGGAAGGATAATCAACCAGAACGACAACAGATAGCGAACCAGCCTACAATCTATTTATTACCTACCAAATATGGAAAATAGAGATAGAGACAGCTTGGAAATAACGTTGAAGAGACACCTTCGAAGGAGATCACAACACACATCAGGTAGCCAAATGGAAAACGACAGGCTGGGTGTATATATCCAATGGTGATATGGAGATCATACGCGTACATGCAGTCGTGGAACCACCAGCTAGATGAAAGTGACAACAGAGGCCCAAGTGCATTGGAGATGTGCTACTCAAGTTCTATGTCCCACTAGGGACAACACAAAGCTAATTATAATTCAGGCTTTCTCTCTGTCGCACACACACACACACACACTTTACATCGACAAAATAAAAAGTAATGAACGAGCGCACAGCAGATAAATGAAATACTATGACCAGCATATATCAATACAAAAGTACACACATGCGCAGGGTTTTATAAAAACCACTACTACTACTGCTAACGAAATCATGTGGTTGCAGATTGACATTTAATAAAAAGAGAAATAAGGCAAAGAAAGGAATTGTAAAAAACAAAGGACTAGCAGTAATGCAGAGAGAACAAGTGCAATTACACACGCACGTACGAACGCATATACACACATACACGCAGGGCGATTTCCGCGTTTAGAAGTTGAATTTAAAAAGTTTTAAACTTAAAAACGCTTAAGAAAAAAAGAGAGGAATTGATTGTTAAACGCGCTTACCATAAAATCTTATTTTTCTTAAAAACGTTAATCTAATCAATCACACTTTTACTATTTTCACTAACAATAAAATAATGATAATTTTAATAATAGGTGAATTAAAGTACGCAAAAGTACTTCTATACACATTATACATAACTTTATAAGTAGTAGAGCGCAGTTTTACCAGAGAGATATTTTTTTATTGGTTGGACTATTTTTCTGTGATTATTTTTTGGGGGGGAGGGGGATCTAAAATATTGCGTAACACAGTTTCAGTGAAAACTTCCGTTTGACTCGATGAACTGCACGGTGAAGTAGTGGGTTGTTGTTGGAGTGAGTGTTTCTTTGCATCAATTCGATTTATTTCAAGAGTGACCCCACAAAGTGATTTCATATAGAGAACTACTGAAATCCACGGAGTACTGGAGAGGTGTTATGGTTCTTGTTCTGGAGGTGATGCTGACGTTAGGCGTAGAGTATTGGGCAAACAGGGAAAATTAATCGACGAGGCTATAAAGTTACATAGATTGAGATGGCGAGGTCACGTGCTGTGCATGCCTAACCACCGCCTCCCCCGACGACGGACATTACTAGCTGATATAGGTTCAGGTTGGAAAAGAGCCAGTGGTGGCCAAACAAAAACATGGCCTCATCAATCCATGAAATCCTTGACAGTAGTTAAACTGAGTCGGTCAGGTAGGGAGATGCAGACTTCTAGGTTGGGGCCCTCGGGACTGACTCTAGGAATCAATGGCTGGAGACAATAGGTGACATGGCTCAAAGTCGTTGTCAGTCTCTGTAATCTTTCATATTCCTTTCTACCATTACCCATTCTATTTCGCTCTTACACCTGTCAAACTCTATTGATTCTCTTCACTCATCTTCTTGCCTACCTTTGTGTGGTATTTGGAACGTGGCAACTCGAATCGAGATAGACAGACCTTGTTTGGGAGTTTTCAGGTGGACACACGGTTATAATGCAATGCGAGCCTACAGGCACTAAGATGAAATCCTCTGGTAGGTAATCAGTGGTTCTCTCGAACTGAAATCACTTTGTGATTAATCAAGAAAATCTACTTTCGGAGGACATATAGTTTAGATTTTAGCGTTAACGATTGTTTCCTCCACTTACTTAAAGTAAACCACAAGATTAATATACTGACCCTCAGGCTTTAATTTCATTTTAATTTAATCAAAGTTTTTCGTCTTCGCTCTATACTGAAGATCAGATGGCCGGGCCGGAAAGAATCACCAACAAGAAACTATGGCTGGGAACAAACAAAACAAGAACCAATCGCCAACTAACAAATATGCAGGAGAAAGTGGAGATGGATTGGACACTCACTGAGGAGGCCGCTGAGTGACATCGCGCGTCAGGTTATCACTTGAGCGGAACCCGAAAGGGACGCGGCGAGTGGGACGTCAAAGGGTGACATGGAGGAGATTGTGTGAAGAGGAGTTGAAAGAGTATGGACTAACATGGATGCAGGTGAAAAGTACAGCAGAAGACAGAAGCAAGTGGAGACGTGCAGTTGAAGCCCAATGTTCCACGAGGAACCCAATGGAATAATAGTAATAATAAAGTTTTTCATGCATGACATGTTGCAACTATTCATCAGTTCTTTATCAGCATTATCAACAAAAGAGGCTTGAGCAGGTAATAAAGTAGTGTATTCAAGATATTTAGGGTTATAATTCAGCTACCCGGAGCAAACTTGGTATATGCAACACAGACAGTGTAAAGATTATTGATTGGACTCAGACGATCACGATGAAGCAGGGTGAAACGAGTATAAAAAAGGCAGTAAGGTAGTATGATAAACGGAAATGTCCGGGAAAAGATATAACTACATAAGGAATGATAAGAATTTAATGGATCATGAAGTTCATAAACAATAAATGCATCTACGCCACTGAAAACGATTTTTAGACACACCAATCTCCAGCATCTTTAAAACTCCAACCGGACAGCATACACCTCTTTACACCACTTGAACCAACAGTTAGAATTCATTAGATTCAGGAGAATATATTTTTTACCACTCTTCATCTAGAAGGAATATATCATTACTCTATAGCGGCCAAGACCTCACCATGGAAACAAGTCAATCTCTAAGTAGCTCGGGTCATTTAGCATCAATTCCACTAGTACATATGTAATGAAATTGAATTTTAAAAAATGCAGACATTGAATACCTCTGACAGACACCAGCAGTTGTCATAAATTTATATGACAACTTGCCATAAACTCTTACATAGCTGCGTGTATTCAAATACAGTGACATGATTATTACGATATAATTTCTTTGCACTACCTTCACTTTCAGACATTGCAAAAACACGCCTCAAGTCGGTGACACCTTGAGGTCAAGAAATACAGCAAGTGTTGGACTCCAGGAATGCCTACTTTGCAAGTAAATATTGGATGCTGGTCAAGTCTAGTGTGGTTTAAGGTTAGTTCGATCGCTTATCAAAGTGTTTCCTGTGAGGTAATGTGAAAGCAGTACCCTTCGCTTATCATCGAGATTTTACAGCTTTTGTCCCCCACCCTTATGAATCCAAATAAATGTATATTGCTACCTACAGTTGATACCTTTGTCCTCCTCTTTGGCTTTTGTCGCCCAACACTGTTTCACGATCGACGAGGAGACTTCTAATCATCAGTTTGTACACTTAAGCAGTTTTCGCTCCTCGCCATGTCCGGAGTCCACCGGGATCAGCCTTCTCAGATTATCAGTTCAGACGAAGGAGAAGAAATTCCCTGGTATTTACTAGCCCTTGATTTCAGGTTAACAATGGTCTTTATCCCTGTTTCTACAGATGACAAAACATGAGGCGTGTACTATTGTCAATCTTAGATACGAGAACAAAAAGAAATAGTTATTTAGTACTCTTTGGTTTCCAGTGGTTCCGCAAATGATAGATTTAATTTTGTACTTCATGTAAACTATTTACAATGTTCAATTCTTCACAATACGATTTCAAAGACAAATACGAAAACAAAGAATAAATGAATAAACAGATAATCCAACTGTAAACTTACACCAGATGAAGATTTATTCGACACATCTATATCTAAATTAGTTAAGGATGAATTCATCAAATCCTTTTCCTCAGCTTTCATTAGTTGTTGGTCAATAAGACGAGTAGACAATTCTTCAAGTGGATGACATGATTTCAATGGATGCAGTGTACCAGATGATTTAGAATGACATAGATTAGATGATGATGACGAGGGTGAATGCTTTTCAGATAAGCTGTGTTTACTGTCACTACTATGCGTACTACTAGTATAACCATTTGTCAATTGTTCAATTTCAGACACTTGTGACGGTTTAGTATCGGTCATATTACTAAGTGGACTAGCGATACTTTTATTGATAATGGATACATTCGTTGCTGAATAAGGGGTGGACTTCGATACAACAGAAGAATGATGCATACTTTCACCATTGACTTCAGTAGTAGTAGTATTCACAGTCACATTTGAAGAAGACAGTTGGCGTCCAGATGAAGTATTCAACAGTGACGATGATGACTGACTGACAGATTCCCTTTACAAAAGAAAAAATGCAAAAAACAGTACAAATTTACTCTCCTTTCAGCGGTAGAAACCTTGTAACCAGAAGATCCTAGATTAGAACCCCGGCGATTGCGTACTGCCGAAGAGTCCCGAACTAGGACGAAACAGATGTCCAGTACTCCCTGACCCGACCGAAAGCTGCTACCTTGACGTGGTGGTCCAGCTTGAACACCGCAATGACCTAATCAAGCTATACTGGCTGAGACTTATGTCTCTCTTGAGGTCCTACCATGCCAGAAAAGTTGTTTGGATAGCAGTTAGACAAAAAGCAGCTACCCAATCGAATGCTATGATACAAACAAGCTCACAAAATATCATGCCGGATCGGTCGGGGCCCGGATTAACACCGACCGCGCTTCCTGCTGCCATGTCACAGGGCAAAAGTGATAAATATGCTACTGAGACACACTAAACAATAAAGAACGAACAAAAACAGGCCGCGTGTAACCGGCCTTAAGCAGTTGCCCCTTGGACTCTGCGGTCACGCAACCAACTTCCACGGTGTGGGCAGCCGGGCAGTAACAATTGCCCTCACAATCCGAAATGCACACGAAACCTCTCTGATCCCCACTCATCTTTGTCTTCATCTTCATCTCTATCATCTTGCCTTCTTTCACTGATGCAACTCCTCTACTTGATGGCTCCTCATTTCCTCTTCACTCTGTATCCACTAAAAACGACGGAAGCCAAAAAACCACCACCGATAGTCTCCTAAAGCCATGCCACCAATTTCGTATGGGAGCATTTATGCCTAGTCATCGCCTTCCTCGCCAATGGGCAATGTTAGTTGACATAGGGTCAGGCTGCAAAAGAGCTATCGGTGGTCAAACCAAAGCATGGCTTCACCAGTCAATGAAATCGACAACAGTTAGTTTAAGCCAGTCACGTAGGAAGGTGTAGACTTCCTGGTTGGGGTCCTCGGGACGGTAAAAACCAATGGTTGGAAACTATTGGTGATATGGCTCAAAGTCGTTCTCAATGACAGCGCAGATGCATCCACTCCTTGTGACTTATGATTTCTAATAAAACTCTATTGTTCCTCGTTGTTACTATTCCTTTGTCTCACACCTCTGTTTACTGTCTCTATTATGCATTTCTTCTACCTTCTTCTCTTGCTTTGTGTGCTACAAGGAGTGGAGTGTGGCGACTTGAACTGCTGCACATCGGTGCAAAGTTCTATGTCGAAAACAGACAGACTCCCTACAGGTTTTCCAATGGTTCTCTAACCTATGTCAGAACACGATAAAATCATCCAGCTAATCAAATAATTATATATATATATATATATATATATATATATATATATATATATATATATATATATATATATATATATATATATATATATATATATATATATATATATATATATATATATATATATATATATATATATATATATATATATATATAGTACAGTATAATAGCATAGTTGACATTTTGTGCGTTTTAAGACGGTCAGTGATTAAATCACCTGGATCTGTTGGAATAATATTGCTCAACTTTCAAAATAATGTTGGCACATCAAAAATAAGTTAGCGAACGAGGAAACATTAACAGAAAAGTGAATTAACAATTATGCAGATATATGTATAAATATTGTTATCCCACAAATGATTCTATTTTTAGTAACTCATCATTGATAACTAATACCACACTAATATATACTAATCTGCTCATTTCTGTTTCAAAATTAGAAAGGGTAAGCACACTGAGTGATTATGAGACAGAGAGAGACAGTAAATATAGAGGCAGATATCTATTTTTGTCAAACCAAGATTTGTAGTATAAAATGTACACTTCGCTTTAACTCTAGATAGCCTAAAAATAGACATAAGATGAATGTGAAAAGAGAGCAAGCATTCCTTCCTTCTACTGAGTAGAAATTCATTATGAAGAAAGATAGTAGTAGCCTCACAAAACAACGAAGAGTCTCAATCTTGAACTTTGACAATCTCGATTTCCTTACTAGCCGAAATTTATTGATCACTTTTATTTGATTCCTCCACATTCCGCGTAGAAAACACAGGGCCTATAAAGCTAGAGCTTTAAAGTCTCAGCAGCAGTGGTTTCATTTTTTACAGGGTGGAGGTTTGCTAGCCTCACAACCAACCTTTCTTCTTCATCCACTTTACTACCGGGGATTGAACCCTAGACCACGAGAGGCGTGGTTGACAAGAATTTCATCATTCAATTACCAATGCATGTGTTACTACTAGGCGAAATACTTAACATTTAATAGAACCTGGAACCCTGACTGCGTTCACCATTGTCAACAATAGAAGAAATGCAACATTACTTTAATTTGCTGAGTCTATGGCTATAAAATAACTTAAAATAGACACTTGTGTACAAAAATAAAGTTGTGATTAATCTCATTAATCACGCACCCAGTAGCTATTACTGAACCCAATGCACCATTATGAATTCTGTATTCCTACTATTCAGAAACACCCCAGGTAGAGTGAGGGTGAACCGCTTGAAGCTGTTGATAAGTTTGTGTATCTGGGTAGTTGTGTGAGTGCAGGCAGAGGGGTGACGGATGAGATTTCCAACTGTATAATGAAGGCTGGCATACATCAACTTCAGCCACCTCTAGCGCCGTCGCGACGTTAGCCTGGCTGTCAAAGGTCGGGTATACAATGCTTCGGTGCGGGCTGCGCTGCTCTACACCTGTGAAACCTGGCCTCTCCGAGCTGAGGATGTGCGGCGACTCTGCGTGTTCGATCACCGCTGTCTCCGCAGGATTGCTTGCGTTCGATGGCATCATCGCGTGAGTAATTCTGAGGTTCGGCGGCGTGTGTTTGAACAAAGTGGAGATCACTATTCCTTGAATGTCGTCATCTGGAAACACCGGCTCCGGTGGCTTGGACATGTGCTCCGAATGTCACCCCAGAGGCTTCCGTACAGGTCTCTGTTCGCTAGCCAGCCATGAGACGGGATGGAAAAGGCGGAGAGGTGGTCAGTCCATGACGTGGCGTCGTGGGATGAAGGATTTTTGTGCTAGATTAGCATCGGTTGGTGTGTCACGACTCCCTGGTTGGGGTCCGAGAGATAGCTCAAATCGATGGCTCGAAACGTTATCGGATATGGCCAAGAATCGTAATCAGTGGCGAATGTGTTGCGATTTCCTTCTTTCTTCCCTTCCCGATGATAGCTAACGAACACTGTTTGAACTTGTTAAGCATGACTGTTTTCGTTCCAGATGAAGTTCTTTATCCTTATATTTTTACTTTTAATCTATGTTGTTTTATTATTATTGTGTGGCGCATCTTTCTTGGTGGCATATTGTATCAAGTTTTTACTGCGTTTAAATAAATAATAATAATTCCTACTATTATTTTTTTGACCCACTCATCTTAACTCACCCACTTGATTTCAAATCGTTTCTAAATGCCTTCTTTGTATATTATTACGTGATAAATACACTAGCAATCATCTCGAAAATGATTATTGCAGAAGGCATGTAGGCAAGAAGCGATAAAATGGTGTGAGTTAACACAGTAGTCTATTTAGCAGTCTTAACTGAAAGTCGTTATGTGGCCGTTATTCGAAACTGGCTATGATATTACTACACCCAGTTGACCAGGCAGATGCAGGTGGGTACGTGTGGAGGATATGCAATTCAATAGCCCACTGCCTGAAAGTCGAATGCATAAACCAGTAACCTGTATTTCAACAATGGAAAAGCCATGATATATGCACTCGGTAAATCCCGACCCAATAATATTAGCTTACATTTAAGAGTAAACTATGCTGAGAATACTTTGATGCTGAACAACTTGGTCGAAGGTATTTTAACTTGGCACTAGTAAGTACCAAGGGAGTGCGACCGCACCAATGACCGTGAGTGGACCAATGAGATTTCTCACATGACTCCAAGGTCTTATTCCGCTTGATTTGAGACAACTGCTTGCTGTAACGTCCTTACATCTGTAGTTTGGTGCAGACAAAGTGTTCCAGTTCTGTTTAGATGTGGGATTGATTAGAAAGGAAAGAATTTGTCCCTGTGAAGGTGTTATGAGTACAAATAGCTTCAGAAGGTCTGTTGATGGACACGTTCACTGCTGTACAGTTTGTTTGAGATGAGTTAACGTGAGGGAAAGTAAGCTGATGATTATACTATTTTGTAGGAGAATTTTTCGTCAGATAGCATTTGCCAATAACTCAGACTTTGTATATTTGTAATTACTGGATTTTAAAACACTGTGAGAGCTACAGCTACTGAAACGAGGAATGGTCTCGTCTCAACCACTCAGCGGTACAAGCACTGCACATATACTGTATCTTGGATGATGCAGAGAGCCACTTCTTTACTGTGCGCTGTTGTACATAGGGACAAAACAATTCTAATAAAAAGGAAATACAACCAAGGTCATGATTGCATTGTACGATACCACTTTACAGAAAGGATTAGTCAAAAGAATACCAGACAGAAAGTCGACTAGTTTGAAACTAATTATCCCTGGATTGATGAAACCAGGATCTATAATACACACATATGAATGGAAAAGATATAACTCATTGTGATCCCTTGGACATACTCACCATAGAGTCAACCATTCTAACAATTTTTTAGATCCTATTACTGTCTGTCTGTCTGTTTTCGACATAGAACTTTGCACAAATGTGCGGAAGTTCAAGTCGCCACATTCCGTGTAGCACGCGAAGCAAGAGAAGAAAGTACAAGAAAAGCATAATAGAAACAGTGAGCAGAGATGTGAGACAAAGGAGTAATAACGAAGAACAAAACAGTTTCATTGGAGATCATAAGTCACAAGGAGCGGATGCACCTGGGCCAGCCGGCCACTGAGAACGATTTTGAGCCATGTCACCAATTGTTTGCAACCATAGATTTTTACCGTCCCGAGGACCCCAGCCTGGAAGTCTACACCTTCCTACGTGACCGGCTTAGACCAACTGTTGTGGATTTCATTGACTGGTGCCAAGTTTTTGTTTGACCGCCGCTAGCTTTTTTCCAGCCTGACCCTATATCCGCTAACATAGCTCGTCGAGGGAGGCGATGGCTTGGCATACGTAACACATGTCCTAACCATCTCAGTCTTTGTAACTTCACGACTTCGTCGATTGATTTCCCCTGTTTACCTAGAACTCTACGCCTAACCTCCATGGTGCTCACCTTATTATGCCACTTTACACGGGAAATAGAGCGCAGGTACCTATGATCAAAGACAGCTAGTCTTTTCATGTCTTCCACTCTCAGTGGCCAGGTCTCACAACCATAAATGAGGACGGAGCGGACTGATGAGCAGTACACCCGCCCTTTGGTCGATAGTCGAACATCTCGTCTACGCCAGAGTCGGCGTAAACTAACAAATGCGAAACGAGCCCCTTGTATTCGTGCTGAGATTTCGTCAGAGATCCTATTACAGGCACCCGCGCCAAATCTTCTGAAGGATTTCGGGAAAGATTGAGGAGTAGGATTAGAGCCATTGACAGATCTCAACAGAATCGCATTTACAGCCATGCAGATGAATATATATCATGTAGTTTAACTTCTCTATCAATGCTCCAATGGAAAACTGGGTGGCGTTTTCGTCAAACGTCAGAGAAAGGTATCCTATGGAACATTTTTATGCCTTTTTTGTCCATTCTTTTCATAAATATGCTCAATTTATACGTATGAATAGCCTTTTTTACGTGATTGGTGAGTTCAGCGTCATTTGTCCGTTAATACTTTTTTTCTTTCCTTCACGTTCCCCAATGGAACATAGGGCTTCAAGCTAGTGGCTTGAAGTTTCTGTAACAGTGTTCATTTTTACAGGATGGGGTTGGTAACCTCATACCCAACCTTTCCTCTTTACCAGCATTATTGCTGGCTTATCGAGGTAAAGGAGTGCGTCGGCGGGGGTCGATCCCCAGACCATGTGCATGGTCGGCGAGCGTCCTAACCACCATGCTACCGACGCACATCAGGTGATTTATTTCTCTAATTAATCCATCATATAGTGACACCAAATACCACGCGATTTAATAGGCATGATTACTTCTCATATCTATTTTTTTTTAAATAAAATTTAAATTATGAATAACTATCAATAAACATACCAATATTTCTTTAACCAAAATAATTCCTCCGACGTGGAAGTAGTTATACAAGAAGATGTAGAAGAAGAAGTATTGAGAGTGGTTAAAGCTTCTTGACCAACTTCATACATTGTAGAAATATCTTCAAGTTCAGATAATTTCATTGAAGATAAATTGAGAAGTTGTTTACGAAATTCTAAAGCATCTTTAATCTGATCAAATTCTAAAGTAAAACTGACAGGCTAAAATTGAAATATGAATAGTGAGCTTATACATATGTAGTTCTGTATAAAACTACGCAGTAAATAACAGTACAATAAAAAAGTGAATACCAAACAAAAGTTAAAATAGTGTTTAATTAGTGGACGGTGACTAGCAGTGGAATCGAGAACAACGAGCATTTCGTCCTATTTGGGAGTCGTCATCTGGATGTACCTGCATTTCTCAGTGTGTCAGTTATGATGTTCCCACCGAGCCTCGAACCCAGTGCTCATAGTTTTAAACTCCAAAGCGTTATCCACTAAACCACTTGGGCCACGAGAGCTACCTCTTGTGCAACGGGTCATATTAATTTAATTGAATTTTTGATTTTCCTGTTGATTGATTAGACGGAAGTGCTCGGTCTCAGTGTACTGCAAGAAGAAGTTTTTATTCGCGAAGTGACCAATCCTTTAAACAGCCAGTTGCAAGCGGCTACCTACAGATGCCAATGAGAAAGATGTCATAGGCGGCTAGGATTTTAAAACCAATACAAAGCGATTCAGATTTTCAACAATAATGTGAAATCAGTTCTTCTATGTGGTCCAGAGACTTGGCACATTACGAAGAGAATTTCCACTAGCTGCATTTTCAGTCTGGATACTGAAGAAAATAAGATGAACGGAAAGGGTCAGCAACAAGGAACTCTATGGCAACGAACCAAAAACCTGTCGTCTAATAAATACAGAGGAGAAAATGGATATGAATCAGGCATACGCTGCTAGGCGATATCACACACTAGACCCTTGAATGGAACCTGAATAGGAAACGATGCATTGAGCAAGTAGGAGTAACATGTAGGAGATCGTGTGAAAAGGAAATGAAATATTATTGGCAGCTGTGGGGTCAGCTGAAAAGAATGCAAAGAACACAGTGAAGTGGAAGTGTGCTGATGAATTTCTATGTTCTACTCTGTCTGTCTGTCTGTTTTTGACATAGAAATTTGCACCGATATGCAGCAGTTCGAGTTGCCATACTTCACTCAGCACACAAAGCCAGTGAAGAAAGTAAAAACAGAATGCAAAATAGAGATAGTAAACAAAGATATGAGGCAAAAAGAATAACAATAACGAAGAACAACAATAGTTTTATTGGATATTATAAGTCACAAGGAGTGGATGCAACTGCATCAGCCATTGACAACAATTTTGAGTCATATCACCAATTGTCTCCAGCAAGTGGTTTTTACCGTCCGGAGGACCCCAACCAGGAAGTCTACCTCTGCCTAGGTGGCTCAAACTAACTGTTGTGGATTTCATTGATTGATTCCATATTTTGGTTTGACAGCCGATAGCTCTTTTCCATCCTGACCCTATGTCAGCAATGACTAGACATACGTAATACATGTCCTAACCATCTCAGTCGATGTAATTTCACAGCCTCGTCGATTGATTTCCCTTCCCACCCACCTAGCACTCGACCACAGCCCAACCTCAATATTGCTCACTCTGTTATACCACTTCACACGGGAGATAGAACGCAGGTATCTACGATCGAAGACAGCAAGGCTGACTTTTTATGTCTTCCACTCTCAATGGCCAGGTCTCGCTCACAGAAATAAAGGAGGACAGAGCGGACTGCTGAGTAGCACAGACGCCCTTTGGTCGACAGCCAGCTGGATATAGCATCTACGCGAGGGACGGCGTAAACTGGCATATGCGAAATTAGCCTTCTGTATCCAAGCTGAGATTTTGCCGGAGATCAACCCGTTGGGGCTGATGCAACTTCCCAAATAAGTGAAGCGGTCAACATGCTCTGCCACGTCACTCCTTATTTCTAATCTAGGAGTCGGTGTCTGTCTGTCTGTTTTCGACATAGAACTTTGCACAAATGTGCGGAAGTTCAAGTCGCCACATTCCGTGTAGCACGCGAAGCAAGAGAAGAAAGTACAAGAAAAGCATAATAGAAACAGTGAGCAGAGATGTGAGACAAAGGAGTAATAACGAAGAACAAAACAGTTTCATTGGAGATCATAAGTCACAAGGAGCGGATGCACCTGGGCCAGCCGGCCACTGAGAACGATTTTGAGCCATGTCACCAATTGTTTGCAACCATAGATTTTTACCGTCCCGAGGACCCCAGCCTGGAAGTCTACACCTTCCTACGTGGCTGGCTTAGACCAACTGTTGTGGATTTCATTGACTGGTGCCAAGTTTTTGTTTGACCACCGCTAGCTTTTTTCCAGCCTGACCCTATATCCGCTAACATTGCTCGTCGAGGGAGGCGATGGCTTGGCATACGTAACATATGCCCTAACCATCTCAGTCTTTGTAGCTTCACGACTTCGTCGGTGTAGTCCAGTCTTGTAACATCATCTTAGTTTTGGCGGGAGCGAATCACATGCCAAAATTCGTAGGTTGCAGCTCAAAATGAAGAATTTATGTTCCACTTGAAATATAAGGGAATTATTATTATTATAACAGTATAAACATGTAGTTTAAGATGTGCGAAAGAAGACATGAGGGTTTAAAAGACACGCGACACTACAAAGAGTGAATGCATCTGTGCCACATCACTAATAGCCTCCAGCCACTGCTTCTTAACATCCCAAGTACCTCGACCAGGTAGTCGATACCACCTTAAATGGCTCAAAGTAATAGTCAAAAACTTCAGGGACTGATGCCAGTTTTTGATTTGACTACCTCTGACTTTTTTCTGACCCAACACACTATGTCAATTAAAATTGCTTATTGACGACGGTGTTATTTCCCAATGCATAGCACGTGTCTCAGCCATCTTAATGGGTGTAGTTTCACAACCTCATCGATTGATTCCATATTAGTTTGTTTATTAGATGTATCACACAGTGAGGGAAACAGTATTATTTACTGGATGACGTTTCGAACAAAATTTACTGTTCATAATCATATCAATTGTAATCACACGACTTCAAAACTTGAGTTTTATAGTTTTCTTTATCCTCTCCTATTTGTCGTCGTTGGGGTAGTAGAATTTTGCACATATCTGGGACAGGTGTTGAATAATTCCTATTACATGTACTCGCAGTTGATTTGATAAACAAAGTTTTTGTTATCAGTCTCTCCCTCCACCCTGTGACATTAGATTTTAAAACTGTCATCCTATCCCATCCTCTTGTGTGGTTGTGTGTAACTGCATGAAGTGCTATAGCTGAACTGTTCTTTAGATTTCTTATCTTATTCGAGTCAACCAATCTCTTTACTTAACATTCTACGCCTCGTTCTATTAAAGCACCTAACACAACCATCTGTGATCGAAGGCGGCCAGTTTTTTTCACATTTTCCACTTTCAGTGACCATCTCTCATAGTCAGGTAGGTGGACAGAGAGAAATGGTGCGTAGTCTACACATCCTTTAATCCTTAGTCGGATATCACGCCTACACCAGAGATGATATAAGTTGGCAAATGTCAAATGAGCCTTTTGTAGACGTCCTGAGATCTCGTCATCAATCAGTCCTTTAGGGCTGATGCGATCTGTATATACTATCGATAGTGCCACATATAAGACTTCACCTGAATATCAATCAATCAGATGTAATAGCACATAAAGTGCGGCTAATCACAAACTTGTACAACACACTCGAATACATAACAAAAACACAGGGATAAAAGAAGAAACACACACACTTACAGATAGGTGAAATCGATATTTTTTAATTGTTTTCTCCCCAGAGACATCGTTAAGACTTTTCAAAAATACTGTATTCTTTGCACAACTTTTATCATTATCATCACCATCAACATCTGAATCTATATCACTTGTGTTTCCTTTGGCCTCCTTTGAAGTATTCTTATGCTTATTATTCACATTATTAGAGACAATATAAAGTTTAACCTGTTGATTTGCAGACTTCTCTGTTTTCTGGACAACAACATCGACTATCCGTTTTCCGCAGACTGGAAGGTGAACACGAGAATCTGTGAAAGATGAAATATTATTTCAAATGATAAGTGAACAAATTAACAATGAAATTAGTAATAAATATATAATTTAGTTTAATGCGTCGGTGGTTCAAGGATAGAATGCTCACTAACCATATACAACAAATGGTTCCGATTCGATTCCCAACAAACACTTCTAGACCTTCAAGTGTTGGTTTGTAGGGATTTAATTGATTGGTTGTAGGATTTCATTGTGAGCTGACATTAGTTAAAGAACCAGCGGAAAACCTGGGAGTACTGGAATTTGTTTCGTCCCAGTTTGGGACTCTTCATCAGTGCTCATCCGCCGGGGTTCGAAACCAGGACCTTGCCCAGCTGGTAGTAAGCCTTATAAAGAGGCAAGATTGGGCATGAATCTAACAACCTCACTCTGTAGAAATATAACACCACCGCCACTGAAACTTCAGAGCTGAAGTATGAAGCCCTGTGCTCCACTCAACACGCAAAGGAATAAAAATAATAACAATAATTTAGCTAAAAGAGTAGGAGATTAGCTTTGTTGAATGTTGTGTCTTTCGTGTATTCTGGTCATCAAATGGCTCATGTGGCATTTGTCTGTCTGTCTGTCTGTTTTCGACATAGAACTTTGCACAAATGTGCGGAAGTTCAAGTCGCCACATTCCGTGTAGCACGCGAAGCAAGAGAAGAAAGTACAAGAAAAGCATAATAGAAACAGTGAGCAGTGGCATTTGTCAGCTTACATCATCTCTGAAATATTGGAAACGGCGGCTTGCTTAAAATTTGTGCTGCCGAAAATCTACATCACATCATTATATTGCATATATTTTCCTTTGTTCGCTTTATTCTAATCCATTAAAATATATCACCTCCTGATGGTACGGTTTACTCTAGTGAGTATTGAAAATGTTTACAACCTGCTGATTCGTGAATTTCTACTAAATATTAGTTTTTAAAAAAAGTGTAATCCCAGATGGCAATATATCCCAGTACATGAGGAGACAGTGAAGAGATATCATAATGGATTGATAGGTAACCCCAGGGTCAAACATCACTCTGTCACACGATCTACCTGTCAATGGATATTTTATTTGAAGATCCCGAAGGAAGAGAAAAATTCATGGAATAAACTTTACTGAAAGTTCTGTACATTAGATAAACACTGTAAGGAAAAAATAACGCTGTTATTATTATCTCTGGAGTAGACGTGATATCCGACTGGCTGTCGACCAAAGGACGCATGTAATACTCATCAGTTCGCTTTATCCTCCTTTATGTCTGTGAGACAAGTTCGTTGATTGAAAGTGCAAGATATGAACAGGCCAGATGTCTTTGATTATAGGTGTCTGCGTTCTATCTCCCACGTTGATTGATAATAATAGAGTGAATAATATTCCGGTTAAACGTCGAGTTCTAGGTAAGGAGAGAAAATCAGTCGACAAGTTTGTGAAGTTACATCGATTGAGATGGTTAGGACATGTATTACGCATGCATGTCTAGCTACAGCCATCCTCAACAGGGAATGTTAGCTGACATAGGGTGAGGTCGGAAAACAGCTAGTTGTGGTCAAACGAGAAAATGGCTTCATGAGTCAATGAAATCCACAATAGTTAGTTTAAGCCACCTAGGGAGATATAGACTTCATAACTGGGGTCTTTGGAGTGGTAAAAACCAATGAAGACTGAATACAATTAGTGATATGGCTCACAATCGTTCTTAATGGCACAGATACATTCACTCTCTATGACTTTCCAGTCATACCCAATAAAATTCTGTTGTTCTTCTGTAACAACAGAAGGGCCAGGCAACAAATCGTTTATCAAGGAAATCAACACATATTTATAGATTTTCATGTAAATTATTATAGATTATTGTTAGCAGAAAAACACTGTCTTCTGGTTGGTTGTTTCTCACTGAAAGTTAATCTTTCATCTCCTTGTGTCTGTTTCTTGGATATCAGATCATCTATATGCTAACCGTATCCGCCTACGCATACTATTCGTTCTTATTTTTCTTACGACCAATATTGGAGACATCGACATTGACGTAAATTACTGTCTACAAATTTGGCTAGCAGCCAGCTCTCATCACACTTCCGTATAACCCTTCTTTTTGCCTCACACTTCTGTATATTACCATCCCTCCGAATCTCTTTTTTCTCTTTTGTCTTCTTTTGTATGCTGTATGGAGTGTGACAACTCGAACTCCTGCATATTTATGCAAAGTTCTATGTCGAAACCACTCAGTATCTCGGTTATGATTGTATATTTCACGAAGTGACATGAACAGAATTTCGCACTGCTTTTTAAACTGGTAAAAAGCAAGCAAGATGAAAATAAATTCCTTCTACTTTTACCACGACTTTATTTATTAATTGACTATTTATATATGCCTTGATATTTTTAAATTGTAAATGACTAACACGATTATGACAAAAATTTCTTAAACAAACAGTTTGTGAGTGACCTACAAAAGAGATTAAAAAAGGTTATCCCCTTTTTAGCTGTTTTCAAAAGTACAACAGACTATTAACCAAATGACGACCCAGTGGCAATTCAGTTTTTAAGGCTAATTATAGCGAATCTTGGAGAAAATTGAATGATTGGCTAAAATATAGTCGATAAAAGCGATTCAAGGTGGCTGACAGTGCTGATACTGATAGGGTATCTCAGATCTTAGAACCACGGGTTGTGTTCCAAAGTAACAAACTCAATATAATTATGTAGGCTTCAGACCTGAATGAAGGTGCATTTATCAAGTCTTTATTCTTCGACAGGCTCTCAAATACAGGCATACTCACTAGTGTCCAACACTCATCCTATTTCTTAACACAAAAATGGCATTTAATTCTATTGACTGACTTTGATTCCTTAGGGTAGTCTTTTAATAAAATCACCTGCTTCGGTCTGGGCGCCTGGGCAGTATCTCAGCCCTCACACAATGAATTGAATGAAGCAACAAACAATCAATGAAACTTATCGCGTACTATTACACGTGTTGCAATTACCTTCTTTCTTCCCTTGTGGTGAGAGCAGGCTGCTAGCCGATTGGTTGACATTAATCTACGTCAATGTCTAGGTCACTAATATGGGCCGTGAGAAAATATGAACAAGGCTGTTTCAACAACCAATCACAGCAAACTTAAACGTGGACAAATATGATTCGCAGATAAATGGCTCTACTTTCCGAGAAATATCGAAAGCAACCAATCAGAAGACTGTTTGTCTGCTTAACTTCCGAGAAACAACCAATGAGAAGACTGCCTTTTTCTGCTTGCATAAGCCTTATTAATGTACATAAAATATAAATACGTGTTGATTTTCATAATAAAACGATCTGTTGCCTGGCCCTTGTCTTCTGTTGTTACACCCTTCCCGATGGTAGTTGACGAATACTGTTTGAACTTGTTAAGCATGGCTGTTTTCCTTTCAGATGAAGTTCTTTATCCGTTCTCTACTTATATATATATATATTTTTTTCTCTTCCTTCTTTTTTTCTTTTGATCTATGTTGTTTAATTATTACTGTGTGGCGCATCCTTCCTGGTGCCATATTGTACCAAGTTTTTATGCGTTTAAAAATAAATACGCAGTTGATGTCGTCCTTTCAGTCGAAGACGCTTACAAAACACAATCCTTTGGATAAGTTGAATAGAAACTCAAGTTTTTCTGACATGATATTGATCTTTTTCAAATGTAAAGTTATACAATCGAAATAATCTTTAATGTTTCATTCCTGATGAACTGGTTGTTCACGAAAGACATTTGCCAACCTCCATCATCTTTAGCGTCCGGTTACTTATCAAAAGGCGTGTTGACTCCATTCTCCATTACAACTGTAAGATATATCCATTGAAAGGTGGAAGGTATGAACTGATAAAAGATTTCGTTTGCAGGATTCATTATTTCATTGCTTGTATTAAGTGGAACAGCATGTTCACTGCTGGTGAGTTTAGATGTAAAGTGGTCAGTAAGAAGACTAGGCCAGTTGATGAAGATTGTAAAGCTTTATCGATTACGACTAGTAGGGCTTGTGCTACAGGTGACAACTTCAGTTTTATGGTTCTTGTTCTTCTTTCCAAATTGTGGTTTATCCAGTATCTTGCAGTGGTTGTTAGGTTAGATAAGTAGATTACAGTAAGTAGATTAGGGTTAATTAAATTATCTGAGCACAAGCATTTAAGCGAATTCTAGGCTACTAGACTCTAATGAATTAAGAAATCTAGAAGAAAAGCCCAACTATAGCACTGCATACAGCTACAAACATCCATGCAGTAGGAGAGGATAAGGTGAGTCTAATACAACAGAGTGGAGTGGAAGAGATTGAAAACAGAAGCTCCACTTACCTAGTCAACTAAAAATACATGCGATAGATATGACTTATTACATCTGGAAAATTCTGATACCCATATGACAAATGGGAAAGAAGATAAGGAGGATTGAGGATTGTATGAGGTAGTACGACTGGTTGCTACGCCTTTCTCCAGAAGAAATGCCCGTAATTCGGTAGACATGAAAGCAGCGCCTCTGTCGGTATGTATGTAAGAAGGCATACCGAAAATCGAAAACAGTTGGCAAAGGCAATTCATTACCGTTTGAGACGACATGTCGGGGCAGGCGAATGCAAAGGGGAATCGAGAATATTCATCGATCAGCGTGAGCAGATAGTGATTGCGGCTAGCTGACGGTAGAGGTCCTTTAAAGTCGATGCTTAACCTTTCAAAAGGTTGGGTTGCTTTTATGAGTTTGAAATTAGAGGGATTGTAAAATTGAGGCTTTAACTCACAGCATGTCACGCATTTACTGGTTACATTGCGCACCTCGTCAAGGGAGAATGGAAGGTTTCTCGAGCGTACAAAATGCATCATTCGGACAACTCCAGGATGGCACATAGAGTCATGGAGAAATTTCAAGTCGCACACTGACTGCAAGGAACCGCAGAAACTACGGGAAAATGTATCAGCAGCTTGATTATCCCTTCCAGGACGATAAATGATGTCATATTGATAAGGGGATAGCT